CGCCAGAAGGATTAGACTCTGTAACCCTTTTGCATCCCCAAATACCGTTACATCGGCCCTTTTTTGTGATTGACTCAATTGATTACTGAAGCATCGTGCACGGCGCCTTTGCCGTTGAGGGCAACTTCTTTCGGATCAAATTTTAGCCCCTCAAATGACGACTTACTTCAAATCCACTTGCCAAGAATTATGAGCACATGTCGAACTGGGAGAGACAAGGCTATTGCCCGACACATAGTGAATGTTGAACTTAGGGTTGCACAATTTGCTGGGTTGAAGAGAAAGTTCGACCGTTGTTACAACTCGTCATTTTACCTGAATCCGATGAAGAATTATTGGTGCTTGGAAAACTAATTGAAAATTCTACCAGACCGGTGCCATCATTTTTCAGAAGTTTAAACCGCCCTATTTTAAGCTGGGTAATGGGTTTAAACAATGGGATCGTAGGTGTCGCTTGAGTTAAATGGAAATCCAGAACATCGAAAAACGTGATCAAGAAACACAGGAACACTCGTGGACACAAATCAAGGTCACCGCAGGATTAGGCGGCAGACCACTTCTGTGTTGTCCAATCAAGCCATATGAAAAAGGCAGTTCAAAAGAAACGACCCAATGTCGCAGAGATGGCCATGATGGGGACTTTGACGCACCCTCCCCAGTTCTGGCCTCGCCCTACCACATTTCAGCCCTTTCACCCGCTTTTAATGACACTAAATAACAGGGATTGTGAATATTGGCTCGGCAACTACTTCGAGACGAAACCAGATTTTTGGCTGGATGGGATTAACAAATTGGTGTGACAGGGGAAGAGCCCCATTTTGTTAGTAAAATGGAACTACGCGTCAACCCAAAGTCACATTGTCGACAAGTCTTGCGCTTGTGGATACTCGGGAAGACATACACACTCAAACTCCGACTAGAAAACCACGTCTAGGCAAGCTAACGATTTTTCATTTTCTGCCGATCCAGATGGAATTGACGGGGCAAACAAGCGACTAATTGTGTGAAGAGTGAAAAGTAGTGTGGCCGGGGAAAATGCAACTCCCACAGTACGTTGTGCTTGAAGCATGTGATTATTCTTTATGACAACAAAATCCCCCACCCCATATCAGAAATAAACAGAAAAAGCGGGCTGGGGTGGACAAATTTAATTTCTACGACTGAATTGCACAACGTCAACTGTACAGGTGGCGGAAGGGGTTTGCCTAAACAGCCGCCGATTGAAGCACGGGCATTGTGACAGTCAAAACCTAAATGAAAAAGAAAAAGGTTAGATCTGCGGATCCCAAGTCACAATATGGCAGACCTAGAAGGAATGCTGGGTTGGGTTCGAATGGCACAATGAATACATGGTATCACAGACGGGTTTAACGACTGAAACAGCTGCCCGAGTCAGACTTTTAAACTACTTAGCAACGAACTTCGGCAACTTTCCACAACACTGAACGACTTTAGTTATTTTGGTGACCCAGTCAAGGATAGCAGAGGAGCTTAGGAATCGTATCCTGATTCGCTAGACCAAACCGTTACCAGGCTCAAATCAAACCAAAGACCAATTCATTTCAACATACACTGCTGCTCGCGACATGGTCACCCACTGAGGTCAGACCGAATTATCAAAAAGGCCACTTGGAATTCAGACGACAAACAGTTCTCGGTGATAGTAAAAGGCCTATTGTAGGAGGGCTCAAGGGGTAGCTTACATTAGTGTCTGCTTATGTGATAGATGTGGTTGAATGCCGTGTACATATCATAACATAGGCCCGTTAACGAAAGGTCCCAAAATGCACACGTTGATAAAGTTTGGTTTGCAGGCACACATAAACCCCGAGAAAGCCCATCAGTTTGCATAAAATTGGGTGCCAAAGACGAAAAGACGTAATGACAGTCTGATTTCGGTAATATGCGCAGAAATCAGTTAAGTCCCTGAAGCTCACCAGTCGCACAGCTGGTAAAAATGGGCTTTTGTGCTCAAAATCTGACCACCTTTGATTTGACTGTTTGAGAGATTATTTATGTCTTTTTTGTTCATTAATATCATACAAACCGAACGTAAACAAAAGAACTTTGAAAATTAAGCAGTCATTTAATTATTTTAGGCTACACTGCGCCCTGAGTTTCATCATCGGGGTAAACTATAGAAAATCGCGTAAGTGGTAATCACCAGACCATATTGCTCCGTGGTAATCATCGCGGAAGCAGAAGACAAACGTCATCCCTTATGCAAAAGGGTACCGTACGGATACATTCGGGTTGTGAAGCTGTCGAATTCGGCCATTAGTAGCAATTTTATAGGTTAAAGGTCGTCAGGCGGGAAAAAAACTGTATTTGGTGTTATGCTGAGAACCCATACAGACACCCACCATGAGAAATAACACACGAATTACACTCTGGGGAAGTTTATTCAACTAACGGTGACAGGCTACTGCATCAGAAGGAACGTCACAAATCCCAGACAATTGTGCACGTTGGTGCGAGAGGATGCACTAAATTTTAAAACGCGATTATAACGATGAGTCAGCCAGTCCGTTGGGGCACAATTACCGAGGGTGAACAGCATTCATATGCCAATTTTTCGCTCCCCTGATGGTGGTAATAGGGGGAGGACAGGAAACTGACGCTGAAGGGGGCGGACAAACGAGAGGATACGTACGCATCTGCAAAATATCCCCATGACAACGTCAGGGTCGTCGTCGTCATTCAGGTATGAGCGCGCGGCTTCAAGATCGACCAATCAGCGCTTGGCGCACACGGTGCGGTAGACATAGCCAAGCACAGGAAGATGGGTTCTTAGGTTGACGCCAAAAATGCATACCTTTTATAAATGACGGAATCTGACTGCATTAGAATATTAACAATTACGTGACACAGAGGCAAATGGATAAACATTGAAGGACTCGGGGGTTTTGTTTTTGACCAAACAGCTCAATCAACGACGATTTTGCACATTATCCAGGCAACAGCTGGTAATTTAGTCTTTGAAAACCGTAGCACAGAGAACGAACCATGTGCCTTAGGCTACGCAAATGATAAACAAGACAGCCTAGAAGAACAACCCTGACCAAGAGTCGCAGTCTATCCTTAATCCGCCAGCGGCACTACACGATCCTCCAGACTTCCAGTGAACGTCAGGTTCCATTGTCAACGAGTTCTCCTGAAAAACCCCTATTTACAGTTGGTCAACATCAGAGTAGTTGTTTGAGACATCCAGAACAATCAGGTTGTTTTAAGGCCATTCATAGACTGTTGGGCACGATTAGATTACCGGCCCTCTGCCCAGAGATTAAAAAGGAGCACGTTAAAGGGAAGAAGAAGAAGCTGAACACAAACTGACCGTTTGATTCCCCAATATGAACAGTCCAATGGGAATTAGACGGAAGTGTGAAACGCGGCCCACATCGCCATGGGTCTCTGATGCTCCATTAACGCGTTACAATATTGCGACAGGCGGTACGTAAATGTCGCATACAGCGACGCAGCTTCTACGTTTAACGCATTCAAGTGTGCGCAATTGCCTTCTGTGGGGTCGAGTAAATTCACTTTCGGAATCAATTTTAACGGGTGTGGTGTTTCATCACCAGCTATGTGTTCGAGGTATTCAACACATTAAGTAGCCCCCTGGAACTAAAGTTAAACATTTTAGGACGTGTCATTTTTGCAGCAAAAACGACAAATTCCTGGCCAGTTGAATGATTTGGCGAAATAGCCTTAATCCGAATTCGGAAAATCATGCTGCCACAGTACGCCACTACAGCATGTTTGGCCTCTTTAAATGTCAGCACAAAGTAGATAAAATTTAAAACATCCAAAACCACGAAGCAATCTGCTGCCAACACGATTCGCTTCGTATCAGCCCGATTTACAGCAGATGAGGTCCTGCCTCCTCATCCTCCTCCTCCACCCCCTCTCCATCGCTCTTTGCATACCACAGATTTACACCCTGCGGGTGGTTACTTCAAACCACCCCACTGCCAATTTTTTTGAAAGCGCGTAAAGCACGTTAGTGCGCTTCGTTTGAAAAAAGCGTCCGTACCGAAGTGTGCGGCTCCATTATTCCCTACTTGATTCCATTAAGCGCGGGCGTGCACACGCGAATATGCTGTAAACAGCTGTGCAATATGGCCCCTTTGAAGCGTTGCCGTGGTGGGTAAAACAGTGCCCACGTGTGCTCCTAATTAGGCATCCAGGAGCGTGAAAACAACCAACCGAAAATCTTGAAGACTTAAAAAAATTAAAAAGGACACTCTGTGAGCAGTGTACGAGTTAAGCATAAGAAATGGTCATTTAAGAGACGCATATGAATTTACAAATGAGTCTCGTAAACAAATCTTCAGGCGGCTAAGGCACACTCTGGAGATAAATGATTCGCACACAACATCAGAAGTTATTTGTGTTTGGCTAGTGACGATTACAGGTATTTGTAAACTAAGCTGTATAGACTAGAAACATTGGTTCAATATATACTAAGCCATCCAAATCTATGATTAGCTCAGGGTTATTATTATGACTACTCGAGGGGATTCTAGTAGAAAGCCTAGATTGAGCTGGTCACCATAAAGTATTAGGAAGACCAGATAAAACAATGCAGCAATAGAAGACCGGAAAGGTAGCAATGGGGTATTCTCAATGCGATCAAATTTTAAAGAAACGTTAAAAGCGTTGACGCATACAACTGTGGCCACTAGGTCAATCGAAATAGACTAATGCAGTTACTGACAAAACTGCACAGCCGTTATGGAGCGAAAACGCGACGTGGCAAATACCAAATAAGAGAGGATAGAGGGGTGTCTAGAAAATGACAAGATGAATTCTTAAGGATTCGCTATGTACTTTAATTACCACAAGGTACAAAGTGAGAAACTCGCGTGATACCTTTCGTTGTTGCCTAAGAAAAACCATATGGATAAATGCTTTTGATGCGGTAAAAACTGAAATATTTGACTACTTATGTGAAAATGGGGGTACGATCAGAGAGACAGAGTTGTTGAATAAACAATATTTTACTTAAACGAGACAAGTAGACATACTTTTGTTTGGGAATTGAAAGTGGCGCTAGTGGCCGCGCCATCAACGGCAAAATTGAGTTCTGCGGCCAGTTCGTAGACACAACTCCGCGTTCGCAGAACAAGCAATTTAGTACCGACATCCAATTCAATGCTACGCGAACTTGACTAGAACACAAAACACAAACTTTCGACTTTACCGGCACATGTAACCGGTGTACGAGATTTTAGTGTTGAGGCGTGTGGAAGCGCGATTTCTGCAATCTACTGACTACTTGTGCATATTCAACCGATAAACGAACTAAACGACGTAAGCCGGTATACATTTACACACTGCACACTACAAACAGGTTTATTTAGTACAAAGAAACACGATATGAAGACTACATGAAGGTGTTATAACAAGCCAAAAGAGTTTCAAGTGTCAAGTAAATATTTAGTGACATTGATCAAGGCAAACTGTACGCCCGAATTAACCATGAACCATTAAGAATTTCTGTAACGGACATGAATGCAATTAGGAAAAAGGACTGACAAACTCAAGACAAACAAAAGGTTACGCGATTCTTACCACTTCCGGCAAGCTAACTTCTGCAGTTATATATTCTGGATTGCTAATATTGGGTACAGCGAACATTTCTATATCAGGAACAGTCGGCTTCGGTCTGCGGAATTAGTGTGCCAAGTTTAGTCAAAGCTTACCTTTTTGAATCAGTCTTCGGTTTCGAATTGTGACTTTGGGCTCTAACACTCCCATAAGAAAATAAATTAACGAAACCTTTCGGGTGAGTCAAGTTCAATTATCGCGGGGCGAGGTTTGGTTCTAACAAACTGCTCTTGTAGAGAACCAATGCACTTTTTGTTCTTCAAAATAATCCAATCTTAACAGGCCGCTAAAAGCATTAGCCAATTACCAACCTCGGCTTAAAGATAGCTTGAATTTGGACTCGAGTCCTTCAATTATAACGGTGATTAAGAAACCCATAAAGACCTGAGAAGCCCGAATTTTCTCAAGGAAAGTTGGGTGAATAATCACATCATAAGCTGAACATGGTTTGCCAGCTAATAGCAACAATTGACTGATGAGAAATCGCGGATAGAGAAAAATTATGTGCACTTTTCTGTGTATGCATACCATTATCAAGCTCGGTATGATTTTCTCCTATGCTAAGGGGGACCCGATAAGGAGGCGCTTCCTCCTTATCTTCAAGCATTTTTACTAAAGCCTCCTCGGTGATTTCATCCGGAATAGGAACCTAGGAAATGACATAAGCATGGTTCCTACTTTGTTTGAAGTGCATATATTTACGAAAACCTTACAACCAGCGGTACTTCTTAGCTTCACACAAAGGCCAGGGTTTGGAGCGATGCGTAGCCTATCTGGTTGGTTGTTATCTGGAGGCTTTTTGCATTTTTGTTGCATAGTGGAACTAACCTGCTCTGATAAAAGCTGAGAAACAAGCTCTTCCATGACCAAAATGGTAGAAAGCGTCAATTGTAAGCTATGTGTGATATGGACAGCTCTGACACTACAAATGAAACTTTTGTTACTATGGTAACCGATCGTTTGGCGATTAATATTTACACTAACAGAAAGCCGCAAAGACAAACAGAGCTATTGGAACTTATTTTAACTCAAATTTTAACTAAGGCTTTTACCTGCAGAATTATTGGCTTAATGATACATTGAAGTGTTAAGTTTCACTAAAGGTCGTTAGCCATGAGATGACAGCTCTTGGTGAGGACCGCGGAGCTTGATATCTTCAGATAATATAAACGGAATCAAAAATAGTGAAAGAAAATAATAACCCTGATGCCTAATAAGTTAATGAGAACCACTGTGTTTGTGCTTTTTTAAGTTGATCTTAATGTTCATAAAGGAGGCATTTAACATTAAGCCATGGTTGAGCTTTGTGGAAGTTTGAACTTGTGAGTGTAAAGACTAGGCTAATTTCTATAATGTCATTATCCTCGTTTCTATATGTGTCTAAAAAGGCTTGAAATTAATAAATTGATGACAGAAATTACGGTACAAGAGTAATTAGTAATTTCACATTAGGATGTACTCACGGGTACTAATTAAAATCACCGCATATATCATACCACATTGAGAGGTTTGTAAGTTGACAGAAATCCTATTTAATTAGGCCATTTTAAGAGATTGTGCGTGGAAATAAGAGATACTTAGGGAAATGCTGCACAGGCAAATTCATCATGGTCACGCAGTAAGCAATGTGAAGCATCATTCGTAAATGAGCAATTTAATTTTGCTAGTATTTTTTTGCTTTTGAGCATGTGCCGCAAAAAGCAACTACCTTCGATACTGAGATTTACGCTAGTAAAATGCCTATAATGAGGTATCTACCTATTTCCAGCGAAGATGGGTCACACAGTCGACCTCAAAATAGAAAGGGCTTTGTGCAGCGCACAGTAAAATCTTAGTCGTTAAAATGCGCTCATGCATTCCCTGAAATTTTCTGTTATTTTTTTACTTGCATTTACTTGTAACCTGTTACGTCGAAGCTTTGTATGCATATTCTTAGACAGTTCTAAGCAGGAAAAACCACAAAATAGTAGAATCGCGTCAATAATGAATGTAATGAGCATCAAAACATTTGTTCTGGAACAAAGGCATAAATATAATATATAGATGATCGGATCCCGACACAAACAAAAATGACTACTTTCATTTTACCTTAAGCCATAAGTAAAAGTGTTGGAAAGCTTTTACATGATCAATGTCAAATCAATTGTTTTGTTTTCAATAGTTTATTAAAATGTCACTAAAAATAACTGCATACCACTTGTTTCCACTGCTGCATCGTACTAATTGAAGTGTAATTTAAAATCGTTTATGATAATTTATCTACTATATGTAATGTAGATAAATTCCCTTATCCCGTATCCTGTTAAAGAACTACTAGTAAAATAACTTACACCTAAGACTTGATATCCAATAAGGTATCGATTTATAAACGTTTACTGATCTTCAATCACCGACAACGTATTCATTAAAAGGCCATACCAGACAGCCTCAAAATGAATTTTATCACCTATTCCCACTTGCTCCATAATTCCATCATTGATTTTGAATTTTATAAGTCTGTACCATTAGGAAAATATTACAGCTAAATTAAGATTGCATGAGAGTATTTAACCGAACAGGAGATTTTACGAATCTGCAGAATTTAATGGACAGGAAAACCTATAGTTCTGGAAACTTCTATATGAAAATGGCTGTTATGATTTACTGAAACCTGTTTTTAACATTTTTATATTGTTACACAGAATTGGTATTCACATCAGCCATATAATGTCTGCTACTCGTGTCCGCAATAATACATGTCAGCCTAAATTAGCAAATCAAGAAAAACAGTTTGCGTAGTAGTTAAATCAAATTAAATTACTACAAAAGATGTTTTAATTGTTAGAAATTATTCACAGCTCTTGATCAAAGGCATTTTAAATAAGTGGTTGAGGCTAATTTCGGCTTACACATTTCATTTGCAATTATTTTAAATGAATGTGATTTTACACAAACACCAACTACCTATGGCATAGCACTAATAAGATTACATAAAAAATAATGTTTTGACTCTTTTATGTTATTTGGCATTAAAATGACCATTATAAACAGAATTTAAAATATACCAGTGCTGAAACAAGTGTTCAAAGTACGGATATTTGTAAACCTCAAATGAAAACAATTGACCAAACTAACTTCTAAATAATCCCTGCTCTATCAAACCTGCAATAAAACCAAAACTTTTTGGTTTCCTTGAATGGTTCTAACCCGAATTTTAAGACATTCATGTCGAAAAATATTTACGTTGAATTGATCAAGGGTAATTATATAATAGATAACTATGCATACAATAACTGCATACTGCATGCAAAATTTGCGATTAAAATAACACGCCTTGTTTCCAAAATAAAAATCGATCATGAAAACGTGTGTGTGCTATTTGAAATCGTTAATTTAACAACGCCCAAAAATTATTACAGTAGTGTATTCATGTTGCCAATATGTTTGTACTTTAGTTTTAATTGTATAGGATAACAAGCATATATTTCCGAACGTTCTCCAGCATTTTTAACTTTCGGAAACAAGGCATGTATTTTCAATTGCTGCCGAGTTCACCATTATCCATTTTACTTGCTTTCTTTTATTCTTGTTAAATATGTTAAATGATAGAACTTTTATCTGAAATTAAAATGCATATGCCTCTTAATGATCTAATTTATCATCGTATTTTAAACGATGTTAAAAGTTATGATAAGTGTTTCTAACTCGGGGATCTTACGAAACTATTTACTGTGGTGTTCATTAGCCGAATTCGCAACACGTAAACACCAATTTTAACTTTCACACAAGTGTAAACTGATTGCTGCTGATGTTAAAATTAGAATACTTACATTTGACTGAATAGATTGAATTATTTTTTACCAGCGTACCGGTTCAGTTTGGAACTAATGAAAGACCCGCTATAGACCTAGGAAAGGAAAATAGGATACTTTCAAGTTTTTTTTAGATTTCTTGGTCCGACTGTAAAAATAGCAAATTTTCGATGCAAATTTAAGTGTACGAGTTTAAATTTACCTCCTAAAATGATTTTGCAAAAGATATGGGAATAAATAACAAACGAATTTAGCCTGATGGCTCCGCCATTATCGCTAACAATTAATTGAAAAGGAGATCAGCACACTTTTTAAAATTCAATAGCAGGTAAAAGCAAAGGAATAGCAGATAGAAGCGAAGTAATGCATGTTTAGGATTTACAGTAAGATAACGTTAGTTGTATTGTATTTAGGTTTTGTAATTGTATTTGAAATTGTATTTAGGTTTTTTTTTTCTAAAATTTAATGGTAAATTCAGCGTAAAGGTTATTAATAAATAAAATCTGCAAACTAACTTACGCCTTGCAACATTTTGCTGAGTAAAACATGTTTGATGAGTAGAAACTTAACATTGATGTTAAAAGAGCATAGTTCAGAAAAATGTTTGAAAGATTGTTTTATTAAATCAGTTGCTTAAGTCCCATTGCTATCCAAATTTTTGAAGTTGCAGCAGGTTAGTATTGGCTGGTACTGTCGATATCGGATGAGGATTTTGTTAAATGTAACGTTGTAAAATGTTGTAATGGAAAGCGGTTGTTGGTTTTTCTTAATGTCCTGGATGTGACTTATTTCCATTTGGGCTTTTATGGAATTATTTTTTCATTGTTTTATGTACTTCGTTTATCGAAAAACTGCTTTAATACATTCTGTACACATACATTTATTGGTATGTGTATGGTTTTTTATAGACTTATATACATGGGGTGTACTTCATGCTAAAAAAAATACAGATTTACATGCGTGGTTGTTTGACTGTTTTTCCCTTTTTGGCAATTCTGGTGTTGTTAACGGGTCAATTTGATGCCTTTTGCTAATACTGTGTATAATAATGAACGCATTCGTGAATTTTAAGTGAAATATAAGGTATAAATGAACAATCGTTTCCCCAAAACAATTTTCTCGTGAACCATAAATTTATACTATCCATAAAATAAGAAATCTATTTTTGTCAGATATTGCGAAAAACGTAAAACATACTAAATAAATAACTTGTGTTTTGTGGTGTACTAGTCCTAGTATGCCGTATTTTGTGGGAACCTAATTTAAACCTTTTCAAAAAATCAAAAATGGACTTAGGAAATCGGTAAAAAGTCTACAAAATTATGAGCACGTTCGAAAGTACCTTGATTTCGCTATGTATTTTTCGTGCACTGCTTCCATTCTTATTGCACCACCACTGCCTTGTAAGATTGTAAAACCTAGACTGGTATGGAATCATTTGCATCAAAACATATTACAGTATTTCTCATGCGTTTGATGATCACGCTGAATAAATTGGTTTTTTTCAATTCACATCTGTTTCCCGGGACTTTTCCGTTATGTAGTTCTCAGAATGAGACAAGTACTTTGAGTGGTCACTTATCTATATGATAAGGTAATAGTGAAATTTGTGGTTAATTCATTCAGTTGGCAGGCCTTCTGATTTGCCTTAATTTCCCAGCATCTTCCGAACGCTTTGTCGAAGCACAACATTTTCCAATAATTCCGCGCAGATAGTCGCAATGTTATTCGTTTTATTTAATTTTTGTCCTCTGCGATCTCGTGGTTTTACGTCCTCACTTTTCAAAGGTATTGAAATTCACGTCTTTGTGAGTTTAGCATAATTTACTTATAGAGCGTTATTTTAGCTAATTTTGAGCTAATCTACGTACAAACTACGAAAACTAATTAACGAATGATTTGGAAAATCCCGTGACATTGTCATATGCATTAATTGCTTATCTACTTTTTACTGGCTATTTACACTATGTTTCCAACCTGCTTAGTTGGCTTTGATGCTTTCAGATTTTAGTGTCCGTTTTTTTTGTTAAATTTAGGTCTGCGCCACCATGTAAATGTGTTTCCATTTAGTGTTTTCTCTGCTATACAGGTAGTTCTGTTTTTTGAGTTTTAAAATCTTGAGTTAGTCATATCTTATTAAATGCAATTTACTCTGTAACTGTGCTTCATATGCTGTGTCTTCGACCTAGAAATTAACAATTGCAACCAAAAGACGAGTGACTAACGGTAGATATCTACTGGAACGGTGTTTCTCAATACTTTTGATCTTGGGTGCTGCGAATTTGATAATACCACTTGGTATTAGGTGGCACTGGCAGTTGCAGTATGTGCAGTATTTCGCGAAAGCCCTGAGTTGTTTAATTGTCACCAGCAAGGTGAATCCAGTAAAACTTTAACAAACACTGCGCCACACATCATCAGCAATCGCGTTGTTAGAGATGTCACTTTTCTCACGCTTCAGTTTTATTGCGATGTTTTCAACTGAATACACAGTAGATTTTCTTTGTTGATTTGGGAATTATTATTTTCAGTGTTCAGGTACGTGGATAAAGGATTTTATTTGTGAGTTTGCATTCTTATCAATCCTCTACCGGAAGCCAGTGTTCTTGAATGTGCTTCATTTAAACATATGTAAATTCGCCTTGGCTGGTGTGCATTCTGTCAACGCTCTTAGTTATCATGTGCATGTGGATACATAGCAAGCACTTAGTGTCGCCAATAGCAACGCTCATGTGTATATCAAATATCAAACTACGCGTCGTAGGTAAAACCTTGCTAGGGAGGTTCCCATAAACAGCGTTGCCTCATGTTCGGGTTACTTTTTTTGCTATTGTACACCTGACTCCAGGATTCTTGTAGTCAGATGTTGACATTTAAAGGGTTACATTGCTTACCACCCCAATTTACTGCTTTCTGGGTCCCCTGATTTTGTGTGGACTTACATCACCATGTTCCATTAGCTTTGAAATAGTACGTTTCCGCAAATTTAGTTTGGTTTAGGTCCGTCGAGTTAGTTTAGCTAATCTGGGGTCATCAGGACAGATTCGAAATTTAATACGATCCATGACATTGTAACATTCCTGTTGACACTTGATGTTCTTCAAGTTGATTTAATAGTTCATGCTGAAACCGGTCTTCCATAGTGTAAACAGTACTTAGCCTGAACAGGTAAAACATGCAGAGAACACCCGTTTCTCATTTAATCTAAGCGAAAAATATAATTTGGTTTTGGGGAAAGAGAAAAGACTCCATTTTTGACTCATACTGTTTGCTTGCATAATTAATCTTGAAATAAAATTGCGATATTTCCAAGACAACCGAGTGCGACTTGTTAAATAGGTAATAGATTCATTGTTCTAAAATCTCAGAAGCACTAAATAATTTCGACGTTCCTGGAAACATGTTCTTAAATTAAAAAATAATTTTGTAGGGGTTCAACTCTTAAGGGCGGAGGTCAAATTGTTTTGTTTTCTAAATGGAGAAACTGGATTGTAGTCTAGTGTGGCTTTTTAGCAACTTATGGATTGTTTCCCTTCGTAGTAAATGTTTACTTTTGTCAACTATTTCCTCAAACGTGGAGGTCGGCAAAATTTGGTGGGATCTGGAGAGCCATGGTTCCCGGTGGTTCTAATTTGAAACCAGTTTGCTCATAGAACTCGTTGGTATCTACCAACGTTGTTAAATTTCACAGCTTCGGCATAATTCCGAAGCACACAAGAACAAGACTGACGACGTACTGTGATTACTGTCTACGAACGCATGGTGTGTCTATAAATAACACCGCAGAACCCAAATGTAGTTGGCTTACTTTAGCCCGACTAGCCAAACCATTAAGCCCTTGGATAGTTCCAATATATCAACAGTTTTATTGGGTTTCTAGAAAACCCTTATCGGTGCTTGGTTCTAATATATCCGAACAACATTTCTTTGTCAGGGTAATTATTGATCAAGAAGGTAGATACAAACCTTTTAATTCTAGTTTTCGCTACCAATGAATTTTACGCCTACTTTGAGTGAATGCCATGAAACTGTAAGGGATTTGTTAGTGAAATTAAACCTGTTATCTTTTGCTCACATTTTTCAAATTTTTGGTTGTTTTAGAATCATAAAAAAGAAATATTTGTGTGAGTTTTTTCTTTATTCAGTTTTGAGCCAACTCCTTTTAACAACCCGTATTGTCTTTTGATAAGCTCATATCGCTTTGTGGTATTGTGTGTTTCAATTATTTCTCCCTTTCATTCTTATCGTAACTTGCTATTGCGAGGGCACTGGTCGCATATTTTACGTACGTCTCGATTTTTGTAGACGCAAACATCCTTGATAATCACCTTGCTTCTTAAATTCAGGAGTAAAGAGTTACTGCAGGTGTTGTCATCTTTTTTCCCAGTCATCCCTTTGTTTCTACAATTACCTCATTGTTTTCTGACTTGTAACGACTATCAACGTTTATCACACAATGACAAGAACTGCGTATGAAAATGCCTGTTTTCTAGTATGTCGAATTCGGAGTGCCTCACCATCTTGTAGGCTCTGCATGCGTTAGAGGATCTTAGGCTTTCTTTTTTTAATAAAAATCTTGTGATGGTTAAATTGACGAGTTTTTCGTCGGGAGAACCTTCGCTCTATCCCAATGTTAACATCTTGACACATCAATAAAATGCAAACCATGCTCTCTTGACCCCTTCTATGCAGACTGGGCTCGCAATCACCTCCTCACTTTTGACTCGAGCCCCTTTTACTAAAGTCTTCTACGGGCCCACTCGTTTGTGTGGATTCTCACTCTTTCGTTCTTTGTGCATTTAGGTGCACAATTAATTTTTCAAGTGCTCAATCGCCTGACGTTTAATCTGGCTTTCGACTCTTTCAGCGTCTTCTCTTTTTACCATCGCCCCTTTAACTCCAAGTGAACCAAAATAGGCTGCTTCCGATTCTTCTTCATGACCTGTTTAATAGCATTCAGTGACTGTGCTCAACTAAAAGGCCGAACCGACCTTTGGCACCGTTCTATATAGGCATCGCATGCTATTAACTAATATGGTTTGATTGTTCTATAGTTTGGTTTGCAATGAAACATCGCGGGGCCGAGGGGTCAGAGATTTTTTTAATGCTTCGTAAAAATCCTCAACTTGGTATCAAATTTAGCTGTTTCATATCTCCGTTCAAACAAATACCTCTTCAGAGTCGAACCGCGCATATGAGTCAGTGAATAAAACTTTGTTTGACGTATTCTTTTACGTACTTAAATACAGCTAGAAAGTACTTCTCCAGATTGAATAATCGATTAGTTTTTGTGTTATTCCTCTAGCGAAGTTCCTGCAGTTGTTTTGACCATGTAATACGATACATTTTCTCAAATTGAAACCGAAATGCTTCCTTTGTATTAAAAATGCCTCAATTGGTTTTGTACAGCGTATCTGGGGTGTTAACTGTGCTATATGTGAAACACTAAGAAGGGCCGTCTGCAGAAATTACCATCTTGAATTTGGGTAGCTGTGCTAATGCATTCTAAAACGCAGCACTTTGTGGATAGTGTCATCATGCCGCGGAAGTCATAAGTGTATCCGATTAAATTAGCACTAGCTGATGCCTGTATCCTGCTGAAGCGCATTGCTGTAATAGGTCGAATGAGGTTATGGGTGGATTACTAAGGTCTTTCTAATATCGTTTATTCGAAGCATCCTTGATTTGTTTTGCGGTATAGTCATTCTGTTACATTTTACCGCAATTTTCCCGAGGTGGGGTGCATCTTTTTCAGGTTATCACAAGTGTCGGTTCAATTTTTTTATCATTGGGAACTTCCGGCCGTCGCATATGATTAGTGCACGATATGCTAGGGCCCACTAACCAAACATGCTTTTTCTCCAAAGCACTTTGAATGAGCCGAGCACCACTGCGAAATCTAAATGCCGATCCAAGTGGTACACATCCCCTACACGCCGTGACTTCCACGTCGACCTCCTCATCCGTGAACCTCACCATGCGGCCAAAATTGCACAACAGCCACAGTTCCCCTTTCCCCACACATGACCATCTCTCGTCCTCCTCCGCTCATCCCATTCTTCTCAAGGCTGACAAAAAGGTCATCGATTCGGTCAACAAGCGGATCGATAAACTTGTCCACCTGTGCCAACATCCACGCATTCAACTCCGGAACAGCCCTCCCTACCTCCTCGATATTCTTCCGGACATATCGGAAAAGTTGAAGGCCATTGTGAACAACTATCAAGGAGCACTCGAGGAGTTGTTCAACACCCTCTACTTCCAAGTGTTTTTGCGGAACCTCATTGAGAAATGCAAGCTAACCTCGAGATTGTTCAAAGAGGCAAAAGAGCTGATGTATGATGAGCGGTCAGAGTATCGCCGAAGACTAATCAAATACTCACTTGTTTTCTCTCACATCCTAAAGGACCTCGAGGCCCTTTATCCTAACAACCACTTTTCCCCCGCGTCCTTTAGAATAACCAAGAAAGAAGCAGCTGAATGGTGGTACAAAAACTTTGACAGGTCTCCAATAATTCCTTGGGAGATGTTCCGAGAGGCCTTGTTCCAGTCTTTTGAGGTGACCGACCCCAGCCACATGCGTGAACTTCAAAGTACCATTGACCTCACTTGTAACGATTTCGTTTCCGTTTTCGAGTTCGACGTGTTTGTGAGGCTCTTCCAGCCATGGAATAACGTTATTGAGACTTGGAAGGCGCTGGCCATAATGCATGCTGGTTACATGGCCTTTATGACTTATGACGAAGTCAAGGCTGTATTGAAGAAGTTCAGAAGTCACCCAGGCCCAGGAAGCTATGTCTATCGACTTTCTTGCACCAAATTGGGTCAATGGGCAATTGGTTACATAACCCATGATCTCCATATTTTGCAAACGATTATTCAAAATAAATCACTTGCCCAGGCCCTCATAGATGGAGAGCGAGACGGCTTCTATCTATATCCTAACGGAACTCCGAGCCAATCATCTATTCTAATGCCTCTCGTTCGGAATCTTCCTCGAGCTCATGTCAAGGTCTCGCAAGAGCAACACGACCTCTACTATCTGATAGGATCTACTTTCGAACTGTGCAAAATATGTACAGAGAACAACAAGAATGTTCGCCTAGAACCATGCAATCATTTGTTATGCAAAAGTTGCTTACATAATTGCCTTGGGGCTGCAAACGGCCAGAAGTGTCCGTTTTGTCGAATGGAGGTTAAGTCCATCGAAGACATCGTTCTTGACCCCTTTGTTTCCCCTCATAATTCTATCGACGAAGACAACGATGTCGAGCATACCGTCTTCCCGATATCGGAAGGTGGAGAGGAAGCTGGAGAGGTGGATGAGGAGCCACACTTTCAGGATAGGGCTATAGAAACAGTTCCAGCTCCTGGAGCTTATGCATCAACTTCCACTGGTGTAAATCTCGATACGTCATCCACTGGAACTGCAGCTAGCGAGGAAGATGTGGTCGCTTCTTCAAGGAGGCGAAGAAACCCATCATCTTGCTGCTCTCGTATTACAGATCCCGATTTACAAACTCGGGAAGGCCAAAGTGCTATAACCATGGACCCGGTCGCCTTCATGCAGAGGAGTGATGTTGCTCAAGTTCTTGGGGGCCCGCCCTTGACCACAGATGTGGCCAAGCAGCTGCTTGAAACCTGTGATGGAAATGCGGATATAGCTGCCCGAGTTTGGCGCTATTTTATGCCGCGGCCGTGATTTACTTATAAATGTCTTCCCTTTGCTCAATAATGGATATTTTTCTACCGCCGCTCTTCCCTGCGTGTCCCTCTTTCACCGTCCCAAGTAAACATGCTCCTTCATCTCTCTATAAAACTCAACTGGTTTTGCACTCTCTTCGATTATTAACTTCCTATCCTTCTCTTCCTTAAAGCCAAATCTAATGAATCGATTTTGCTTAAATAATTGTCGACAAAGGGCGCTTTTTGCTGGTGCACTCACGTGTGTCCAAAACATAGGTATAACCTGCGGGTGTACAGTTTGTAAACTAGTGACTTGAGCGAGGTGCAAGGACTACAGTAAAACCTATAGACTAGAATCATCTGGCCATTATGTTCTGCCGTTAATCAAGATGAGACCGTCGTCTTGAGAAGTTTGTTTAAAATTTCCGAACGGATTGGTCAAGTTCTAACTGAGTTGAATGCATTGGATCTTTACTCTGTTGCCTTAACAAAGCACTGGAATACTACAGAGGATGCGCGTGTTATTTTTGGTCTGCAGTTTACGCTAACTAAAGTCGAATTACGAATCCACCTAAACCATAAACGGGATCTGCATCTATGCTTCCTGACAGTTTAAAATTTCGCCTCAGGAAAGCTAAAACAAGTCCTTGGTTGATACTTAGCTTGATCGCACCGTGCGACCGTGGTCGAGTCCGTGCCGCGCTCGTGGCCTGTTTGTCGTTGCAGGAAGCGAGGCTGTCGGGCACCGTGCGGGGCGGCGCGGCGATCCCGACTTGCGCGCGCGCACACCGCCCGAGCTATTGGGGTGCCGCAGCACCTCGGCTATCGATTCGGCTGTCTTGCAGCGCCTCGCGCTTTCTGCCGTGGTTGCGCCCGCTATCCGGGACGTAGACTAGCGCTTCCAGCCACTTAGTGCTTGGACAGGGCCAAAATGTAGTCGCAACGACTAACTGACCAGTCCAACTAGGGGGTTTCTTTGAGGCTCAACAAGTCTAATGACTACTCTGCAAACGATCTCGGGCTGGCCGTAACAAACTCTTGATAGAGCTGGACAGTTGTAAGATCGTCTACGTATTTAGGAAAACCGATGGTTCAACGCCGGAGATAAAGAAGTTAATAAGAAAATTGTGTACTTGGTTGGAGGCACGTTATGCTCGCAAATTGAACATTGATTAATCGTTAGTGTTTCTGCTCAACAAATTTACAATGAGAAACAGTACCAGTCGTGCTGAAGTTAAAATGTGCTGTTCTAGTCTCAAGTCGGAAGCAACTCTGCTCCGATTTCCGCCTGCACACCTAATCAAATGCTACAAAGAAGTGCAGAGAATAGTCTGCAAAAAGGCATATTTTTGCAAAAAAAATCTAAGCTCGTCTTTTGTCGAATCTTTAACAAATGCAGCCTTTTAGTTTTCACCGTCGTTCGCATATAAAGGTTAATTAATTTGTTCAGGGAAAACCAAGTGATATTTTGGTTACTGTTTCGTTGCACTCGGTGTTTAGCTAAGCGTTGTCAAGTCAGAAGACTAAACTGTTGTCACTTATGGCCTACACTTCTAATCTCAAATTCTCTCACGTTGACCCACTGAAGTGTCACTCATGCATAAATTGATTTAAGAGAACTAGGAGCTAACTTTCCCATTGCGTAATGCAGAAATGCCTCAATCTGCAAAGCTACTAAGATCATAAGTGCAAAAATGTGGTTATTTCGCCCAACGTCGACTTTAACTGATTTTAGTCTCCCTTAGTCCATAAACTGTTACGAGTTAACTCTTGACAACAAGTATGTGCACTTTTGAAATAATGCCCTTTAAAGAATCGGATATTAGTCGTACGAGCTCAATAACCTTATGCAAGATCGCGAAAAGCGATTGTTTGAACGAATTCACTTGCATTGCTTAACATCTATTTTCACTTGACTGCAGTCTTAAAACTAAGGGGCTGAATAAGCTATCTAGCAGGTCGTGCTGGCAAAAGTTAGTTCAAAAAATCCGAGGAAGGAGTGGTTGCGTAAACATTTCCAGTTTTGGATGGCTTGATTGAGTTGCTCTTTTTTTACAGAAAGTCCATTTGTTAAAAAATGCACCATAATTAACTTGGGCACAATGCGTTTTTCACCACCTGTGCTGAGGCTCTTCCTGGTGAATGTACGGTCGACATTACGCAAGTGTTTAGTGGCTGGCCCACTTGACCTGATTCGAAGAACAGAGTGGCAAGCAGTGCGTGTGCGTGTTCGTGCGTTGTCGTGCCGTAAGATGGCCTTTTTGTGTTAGCACGTACTGGACACTTCATGGGGCCCTAACTGGAGTTGCCGTAAGTGTCGAACGCGTTCACCTCCACTTTCATTCACCTTTGAGATCGGCGAAAAGGAGTTCAGTTTTTTACCGTTCCTTCCATTGAAACGCACAAGAGGATGGTCCAAGCGCGATCATTCTCTTGGCTCTAACTACAAGTCAGGCCAATGCGCAGATATGCTAAAGCAAATTTAAAAGTCAGGTGTCTCAGCAAGTCAAGCGAATGCCCGTTGTGGTATCGGTAGATATCGAGTCGTGGGGAGCCAGTAACCGTTCACATGAAGGTGGTCGGAGTGCTGTAATTCCAAACGCCAATTGTCCTGCAGTGTGGTGACTTTAAATGAAATAAAAATGCAACTAAATCACTAGATAAAAAACATTTGAGTACAACAAGCAGATTAATTTCCATTGCGAACACCTAAAATGGGCTGCTTGTGGATATTAGTAGATTTTTTTTAAAATTTGGACCTCGTAAAAGCGCACTGGCAGGTAAACCCTCCAACCTGCGCACTGGAACAATGAGACAGGTCGTTTTACGATGCCAGTGCCAAAATTCTTGTCAAGTTAGAATGAAAAGCTGTAAGATGGATTCAAAAAGAATTAATGCGAAGAATTTTAGAGCTATCGTTCCGTCCAAAGCAATTTGTTGCAACTGGATTTAGTATGAAACACACTGGAAGGGAAGATATCAGACGCAAGTAGGGGAGGGGAGGCGAAACAACACGAAAAAAAACGAGGAGAGGACTGTGGCGCGTAAGGGAGCCTATACCTAAGATTGGCACAATTAAGGCAGTTCGTGGGCGAAAGGGTATGTTTTCTCCACCTCCCCAGTCCCGCCCCCATTGATTCGGTTTAGTCCGAGAAGTGTAAAAGCAATCAGGTTTGGACCTCGGGATTAGGCAAAAGGACTAGGCCCCACTTGTGTCGCTGGGGTGCAAATACCGGTCACGGTAGTTTAGTGAGCTGGGCGAGCAGGTGCATAAACGTGTGTGTGTCCTTGTGGAGTGTTCGAGACATCGACCGAGCGTAGATTACTGGTCGCGTTCATATGGCTGCTTCGGTGTTTTTGAGCTCTTGCTATTCCGCACCAGGTTGACATGCCTAGCTTAGGAATACCTTAAATCTGTTGTCGTTATTCATCTATCTTGTTGTTTGCTCTTTCGAACCATGCTGATGACATCCCACGCGGCCAAATAGCCATGCTGTTTAAATGTTTCTGCAGTCTTTATGACGTGCTTGGAGAGGTTGAATCTCCATGAGGTAAACCTAGTTACGAAATGTTGCTGCAATATCAGGGATGTTTTTGTCCTGTTCCAGGGACTTGTGCAAGCCGAAATACTTCGTTACGTCTGACGACACTTGGTGGCTGAATTTCCACGTAAGCTAAGTGCGACAGCGTGCATCCCAGTTGGCGATTCCAAGATTGCAAGGTATTTCATGGTGGATTTGCCACCGGCATGAAACCTAGGCCCAAGGATGCGTTCTAGAATGCAAAATGCATTGGGTTTATGGCACTGCTACCACGGAACGCCCCTTCACTCTTTAGAAGTAATTTGCTTCACAACAACTGTCCATCACACCCATTTGGAGCTATCAAGTCTGATTTCGATGCCTAGGACTTTGTCCTCATAACTGGAAAAGCACTTTGAAGAAACGAGAATCGTGTTTTTTATGTGAGCGAAGTGTCGGTTGCCGGTATGATGCAGAGGACAAATTCCCTATTTCCCGTTTGGAGGGTCGAGTTCCCTAAAAATTTGTTTATTGATCCGGCTATTTCAACAAGCAAACTTCATTGATAGTTATGCATTTGAGTGTGTTTGGACAACTTCTTTGTTGGTTCGAATAACAATGCAACAAAGTAGACCTTTTGTGGAATAACACAGTCATCCGCTTTTTTTCAGGATAAAGCTAAGTTTGTAAAGGGCTTTTTACATCAATAATTGAGCTAGATTATGGACGACGGTTGAGCAAAAAGAAAAACAACGAATCAAAGGTTGACTTAGATTCACTTAAATTCACACCAAAACATTCATGAAACATTGAAAAAAAGGGGAGCAGACAGCGGCGAGCAGAAGAAAGTCAGTGGGGAAGCGAGGGAAGTTAGCGTGATTTGGGCATTTGAATGCAAATTCCGCAGGTAGAGAGTCCAATCTCCGTGGCCTTGGTGACCCGACACAGTTGGCCCTTGAATTCAGGCCGATAGGCTGCGCCGGAAAGGGGATCCCGAATGCACTCCTGACCTCGGTAAATGGGGGTGTAGGAGGCAGCACAAACCTCAAAGGGGTTGCGAGGGTCGTACGCCAAGTTGAAGGAGTCTACGGGGTTAGAGTCACAGACTTTGAGAATCTTGCGCGTCTGTTCTGCGACCTCCGGTGAAGGAGCTAGATCCAGTAGTCGACGGGCCATCAAAGCGGCAGCGCGGAAATTTTTAAGCTTGAAGAGGAGGTTCACTGCTGTGCGCAGAGTCAACACGAGATGAGGAAGTTCAAGCTTCATGTGGGTGAAATAGCAGGCCATTTCCACGTTGCGAACCCTCTCCTGGGATGTGCAACGGAATAAATTTGTAAGAAAATCGAACAAGAACAGATAGAGCTGACTTTAGGTGGACAAAGCATGTGTAGGTGCATATTACGGCCAAAAGGAAACCAGCAATTAAGGCGCAAAATAAGCGACAAGCAAAGGGATACAGAAGGTTTAAACCGATTTATATGAAACACCAAGGTTTCTATATATCTGTAGTATTATGGAAAGACGACACATTCAGTCAATTGCTTCAGTTTACCGCATGTGCTTAACTCACAAAAACCCATTTTGCATGGGCCCTATAAATAGAATTCAATGTTCATATTATAAAGAATGATATTAACTTCTGTGGCTGCAGTTAAATGAGTAGAATAGGGAAGAAACCATGAGAAAAATTGCATAGGCGAGTTAAAAGGACTGTAAATTTCTACAGCGGTTTGAGCTGGCAAATCGTGCACAAAAAAGACTTGGCGGCAAATAACATTTGATTTTTTTTTCAGTGACTAAACGTTCCACAGTTCAAAATAGTTGTCAGAAAATATCAACGAGTGAAGGGTGGAAACTGACAAGACAAGCTTAAATCGAGCAGTTGCAAATTTCACTTCAAGTAAAGAACGAACTTGTCTTCGATTAACGTGTGTGCTTTTGCAGGACTGCATAATTCGATTACCAAATTCCACACACAGAGGCAAGCAAATACCGACTCCGAATGATTAAACTCAAGTCACCGTCACTAGAAATGCTGTGGTGATTCCTACTTTACTGAGAGGACTTTTCCTAAGCGTATGTTGTTTTGAAAAGACAGAAGTCAATTAGTTTAAGATTTGTGAACTTGACGTTTTGTTTCTTTCAGCAACATAGATAGCAGGTGTGGCTTGTTTTAAAGCCAAGCAATTGGAGTAAAAACAACGTTCTAGAAAAATTCGAGCCGGCGGTTAGCACATCACGATTGTTTCAACTTTAGTTTCAATGAAATTGAACCTGCCGGTCAGAGGCTACTTTTGACGATCGAAGACTTGGCTTTAGGAATCACACACGCAGTGAAAACTAATAAAAATTAGTTAATTCGACCGGACCCTAAATTGTTATCATTTCGGAAAAATAAGAAATAAAGGGCAGGCTTAGGTCGCATTGACAAGGTCGGACACTGAAGCTACTTTCAAGTCCACCAGTCCGTGAACAATACCTTAGGCCAGCCTACACTAACAGCGAGGGCAAAGTTCTACTGAAACATCGTGATCACCAAAACAGCAAGTAAATGTGGTGTCTAGATTATCAGCAGCAGTAAAGGCGGGGAGCCAGAGCAGAGGGTGGACACCAGTTAGCTGAGCACCTACCTCATCAGTCTCCTTCGGTAAGGACTTCCTAGTCATTTCCATTTGCAGACCGACTATGTACTCCTTGCAAATGTTGATGAGACTCTTGGCCTCGGCTTCCTCGGTGTTATTTTCTACAACAAGGAGGGGCACCGAGAGCATAATCGACCGGAAGCGATCCACGGCATCCGCGAATTTGGCCTTCGTGGTGAGTTGGTAAGCGGTTTGCAGACGCGCGATGAGGTGCTCGAGGCGAATCGGCACAACCGGGAGACCCAAAGCAAGCGACTTCAGACCAGCCCAATTGCGCTGGGGGTACACGCACAGCGAGGGAGTATAACACAGGCCGGGGAGAACGACGCGGGAGGATGCGAAGAGGGAGTGGAAGATGGGCGCGTAGAGCGTGAAGTCAACCACGCCGACCTGTTGATGCAGGAGGCGCATCGCCTGGGCATAGGAACCTAAAACAATTGTGAGTGAGTGATTTACGGGAATTACAACATTGGTGATACGGTAAAGACGGGCCAGCGAAAGGGTTTGAAAGGCGTCTACTGCAATATCAAGTTGCATAAAACTCGATCTAGAGACAACGGAAAGACTTTCGTGGTATTAACTTTTTTGCGATGGAAGAAATCATCGAAGAATAATAATGGACTGGGAAGGAAACAAAGACTTCTGTCATTGTTTTGGTTACCACCCTCCTTCTGACACTTGATAGGTGGCACCCTTAGCGTACATTGGGAGTAAATTTGCTTGCAGCTGGTGGCTTAGGGTCAATTTTAACAAAGAGTGCAACAACGATCGTTCGCAACACATACAACCCTACTTTTTCTGTAAAGACAAGGAGGCCGCCGAGGCACACCGATAAATATGAAGAGTGTTGAGTACAGCTGGTTTAGTGGAATGCACGTGATAAAATCGGTCCGAAATTTAAAAAAGAAGCAATTCGCAATGGTAGAATGCATTTATAAAAATGGGATCGACCCTCAGACACGCATGACGTCGATGGACCGCCAGATAGGCGGTGCACGACCGACGACTCTGTCCCCAAGCGGGCTATGCATCCCGCCAGAAGGCACAGGTCATGGTGGACACTGAGTTGTTGGTTTGCAAATCGAAACACTGTTCTGAAGATAGACAGCTATGCAACTTAAGAACCCAGTCAACCAAGAAAGTGCATCCGTCAAGCCAACTCCGCGACACACATTCAACCAAAAAAATTTAGCTCCCTTTACACTTCCCACACTCACTAGCAAAAGAGAATCATAAGAAAACGAGTCGTCACCATGGAATATCGAATTTTGAAATGTCACCCAACAAGATTTATGCCTCGAATAAAGCGCACTAGAAAATATTGTGGTTCTCATTTGAAGCAATTTTACGTACGGAAGAAAGGTCCCTTGTAAGAAAACAGGTTGTGCAACACACGACCTAGAGCAGTTAAACCATGCCCGTTGAGATGGCGTGATTATTACTAATTGGGAATGCGTTATAATGAAAGCAGTGAATAAATAGGATCAAGAGTGGCCATTTTGCAACAATGGAGACTACTAAGTAAATGTAGAAGCTGCGCAAAGGGACTGGTGGAACAAGGGACGGTGAATGTCAGGAGGAAATTACAGATGCCGGCCATCAAACAAGGGGTGTTTTTCTGGGGTCGACAAAGGTACTGTAAGCACCGCCTTTGAGCTTTTTTTATTCGGAAGGTCAAAACGCGACGCGAATCCGATCAAGGCATCATAATCTTCCCTTGATGAGGCATTTAATTTCACGGCAGACAGTGATGCCAGCTCCAGTTCAAATGAAACGGGTTAGTCGGTGTAAAGGTACAAAAGAGGCTAACCCACCTGCCAGGATGTGGTCGACGGCAAGCGAGGAGTTGTCGGTCCAGTAACTTGCGGGCGAGCGACCGGGGGAGGGCTCGACGAAGGTCGACGTCGACGACTTTTCCTCGGAGGAGGGAGTCGGCAAGGCGTCGATCAAGTCTGGTGGCAGATCAAGGTCCTGCTCCACGTCCCAACCACCTGTGAAAAGGCGCGAGCGAACAGACAAAAACCAAATCACAGTCAAAACTGGGAACATTAAGATACATCTAATCGCTACTACACTTCAGTTCAATATGTGGCACTGTGGACTAGCATTGACTGTGCCGATCGACGTTGAACCACGAAAAAGGCCAACTAGAGAAATTCGATGTATTATTACACAACAAAAAAGGATTTCTAGAGCTGGTTACAGAAGTTGCAGCCATGGCGAAAGTTGATTTCCCATGGCTTCCGAAAAACCTCTGGGCTCTTGCTGCGCAATGGAGGACATCACGAAACACGAGTAATTGGGATTAAGGGAACCGGAAATGACAAGCCGTTTTTAAATAGCAAATGAACTTTTCAGTATGCATTTTATCCGTGTTTTTAGCACTTATTTAAAATTAAAGTTTGGTGTACTGATGTCCGAATGAAGAAATACACAGGGTTAAGCTAAAAGTACCGACAATCTGGCAAAACCATAGGCGGTTTAATGGCGGCCAAGGCTGCCCGATTGGACAACTAACCTTCTCCATCGCCAATTTGTTCATCGCCTTCCACATTTTCGAGTCCAACCTCCGACGGTTTTCCTTCATCACCGTCCAATCCCAAGTCGGCATCATCCCCCCAGTTTGCAACATCAGCAGCGTCCAAGGCAAATCCGGCCTTATCTGCACCGGGAAGGCGAATTCTTGGACCTGAAGCAACTTCATCGTCATCATCCAACCTCGCTTTTCCAATTGCTGCCTCAAAGAAGTCTTTGTGAACACTCAGCGTAGGCCAATTTTCCTCCGCTCCTGGCACAAATTTCGCGGCTGGTGGACTGGGTGCTAAGAGCTTGGCAGAGGGGTTAAGTGCGGGCAAGACATCCACATTTGCAGCCAACTGCTCTGCTTCCTCCGCCAGCCCGTAGGTCAAGGCGGTCAGGAGGGCCAGGGAGCCGCGGTTGCAGGACTTGAGCACTTTTACACGTTCCTCTACATCCCCCAGGAGCAAAGCGATCTGATACTGCTTCCCGAATTCTCGTCGCACCTCGGCTATCTTTTTAATCTTCCGCAGTTTCTCCAAATTGCCCGTAATGAGGTAGAGGAACATGAGCTTTGAAAAATTTTTTGTCCGCTGATAGGATAATTCAAGGATGTTAATGTTGCCTTGGCGCAAAGCAAGCTCACCTAGTCGTTCCCAGCAGGCCTTATCGTCAAGAGCACGCGCTGCTTCCAGACCGACATCAAGTTGCCCGCAGTCCATGGCAAGAGAGAAGCGTGTTCGAGTGTCCTTGACGAAATGCAGGGCCACCTCCGGATAACCCTTCTGTTCAAGGTAGCCGATTATTGCCTGCCCGGTAAGATTCGCATGCCGGACCATGTAGAGCACCTCTTCGTAGCGTCTATTAACCAGGGCGAGTTTGAATCGATACTCAGTTGGATCAACAGACAGGACCTTTGGCTGGCAGTCACGATCGAGGCAGAAAATGGAGTCACCGCGGACTTTAGTAATGTAAATAGGCAAATCCAGGGTGCGTATAATCCCATGGTCTCCGTTTAGTAGACTATACTTGATGTGAGTAGAGGTCGTGTAAATAAAAACGCCCTCTTCCTCGGCCCAAGCACCACTCTTAATTCGTACAGTCTCGTGGATACTCGTTTTCATCTCCAATTGCCGATCGCAGAGATAGAGGAAGAGTTTGCTAAATAAGGCCACGTGCTGACCATCCTGGGACCAGATCACATGGCGAATGAGTTTGGTGTTTTTGAGCGTGGCGAGGGTTCGCCCATTGGCGACTGAGTAGAGACTCAAAGTGGTTGAGTCGCGCACCAAAAGGTTGCCCGTGCCCCCGTAGAAAATGGAATCGGCACCGCCTAGATCGATCTTTTTCAGTTTTTCATTAGCGGAGTTACGCACTGCGACAGTGCCTGGAGCCTCCAGCACGGCGAATTTGTTGCGCCCAATCCAGGTGGCTCCCGAACCGAGACCACTGCGGCTGTCTGAGACGGTGTCGACGGTGGCACCATCTTTCGGCAGCTGGTAAAGATCGTAGGTGATTTGGGAGGCACTATGGTTAGACGTGCCTGATTCGGCGAATTGTGGGCGCGAAGTGATGATGACGGAATTCTCGATGTGATTCAATGCTATGGCAAATGGTGTACCGTGACTAAAAATGAGGAAATACAGTTTTGAAAACGTGAAGAGCACTCAACTGGGAGATGGCGGTCCCGATAGAAATATCGGACGAATAAAATACATTGATTTTATTTCAAAAAATTGCCAGCATACGCCTGTGAGGCTCTATCTACGCTGGCAGTTCGTGAGGTCTTGCAGATAAGACAAGGTTAATAGTAGTATCAAACCGACCAACCATTTCCCCTAGCCATAGACAATAAATGAACACTATTTAGGGTCAATTTGGACGAGATTAAAAAGTCAACCGAGAGAGCTGAAAATAATCTTAATAACAGTAAGGAACACAAGATCCTTCCGAAAACCTGTGGTAGGCGTCTCAATACTTTGATGATAGTACTTGGAATCTAACACAACTTCACCTGGCTATGGTTAACACATGGAAAGATGAGCGTTTCATGTATTAGAGAGAACGCTTATATTTACTAGGCAAACAGGGGTGCAAAGATACGACTCAAACCAAGATGTAGAACAGGCATTCCATAGAAAACGGTGCCCGTGGAATCACAAACCACGTCGAGTACTTGGCCCATCAATGACACGAGTGGGTTCGAGGCCCGGGCAGGAGTCCTGGGCAAAACGGAGACTTCACGTGACTGCTGAGCCTAATCCAGCGTGGACAATAAGTGGTTGTGATGAAGATCCTTGGAATAGAAAAGCGAGCCACCACAAATTTAGTCTCGAGGATAACCCACGTGCCATCTCCGGTGCGCTTAAGTCAAAGCACATTAAATCGTGCACGAGCTTGCAGACACTGGATAAAATGGATAAGACGAAACCGCGAGACAGCCAACATCAAGTGTGTGAAAGTGGCCTCGAGCGGTCGCGCACGTAATTACACAAAAAAATGGAAAAAGGAAACCACAAGAAACCCACTCTTTAATGGTCATCACAGACGAATCCTTGGTGGCGGTAAAATCTAGCTTTCTCAGTTGCTTGCCCTTCACGTAGTAGAGGATGTCCCTGTGGATGGTCCACGCGGGCCTCTCGCGCTCCAGCTTGAAGACGACCATGCCCTCGTCGTGGCCGGCGGCGAAGAGGCTGTGCGTGGGGTGCGCCGCCAGCACCCAGAAACGGTCGGACTCGCGGCGAATCGTCGAGACGCACGCTCGTTTGGCGAGATCCCACACGCGAATTGTCTTGTCCTCCGAATCGGATATTAGTAGGTCCTGCTTGGGGTGGAACACGGCGCAGCTCACGTTATTGGTGTGACCTCGCAATGTGTCCAGACACCAGGCTTTGGTTTCTAGAGGCGATAGAATTACAAAAAAGTTGACTAAAGCTCCTAACAATAAAGCCACTTATAAGGACTTACAGAAGTAGGCGACAACCTACCAGCCATCGCAACAATAATCAGATAAACAGACAGATCACGCACGCTGACAGCTCGAGTAGATGTGCTTTTTTTCGTAAACAATTAAATGCACCTTACGGAGATGAGAACTCACTTATTTACGACGTGAAGCACAGTCTGGGTGGGTAATTGTATAAAAACTCTACTGTATTTAAATCGCCACAGCTTCAGTCAAGTGATACTCCAATCGCAAGCATGACAAATTTGTGAGCTTTGCTGATGGCGCAATGCTTCGTTGGTAATTCTAGGGTCAACTTGAATTCTCAAGAAGGTTGCGTTAGTTTGAACAGTCCAATTCCTCATCAAAATGTACGCTCGCCTGCCGCAATAGAAGGGCAGTTAGAGGACACAAAAAGCGTCCACGAGCGCTGACACGTAGACACAAATAGCTGCCAAATAGTTTGTATTTGCTTGTGGCTGCGTCAACGGCGAGAGCGCGCCAAGACGAACACGGTCGCGGTTGACTAAATTTGGACAACCAGCTTTGTGAACCAGGGCAACGGAGCATTGAACGCTGCGCAAACTCCCCAGGCGCGATGTTCCACCCAAATTACGCCAAAAGAAGATGTCGCTGACTAGGGATGAAAGCGGGTTCCCCAGGCTGATGGACTGCGAATAACTACCGTAATCACCTTAACTTGAATGGGCATTTGAAATAGCAATAACGTCTTAGATTCAATGGTGTGAAAAGTCTAGTAAATTTGACTGATATATATGCGAAGTTGCAATAAAAACATTTTTCGCAAGACGCAAAAAGTACTATTACGAAGCTTGTCATTTGACCGCGACGTGATAGTCACGAAGTGCGATTTTGAGAACATTTGTACTGAAATCATTTAAGTAGCGGACGCGGCCAGAGCCGCCATTCAAGCAGTAGAACAATAATTACTGAAAGTTAAAAAGTAGACTAAAGTAAAACAAAAACCGATTCGAAAAGAAACAGATTATTGATGAATTATTCTGTCGATAAATTTTAATAGAAATGCCTTAGTCCAAGGTCTTACTTTTGTTTATGCCTGACTAACCTTAGGATAAAGAATGAGAAACCAATTTGGTGAACATCAAGGAAACGTTGGTTCGTATCAATTTTTACATACTTCCCTCTTGGTTACAGCCACCAGTACGATAAAATTTTTTTCGAAGCAAAATACTTAGCCATACTTAAAATGAATTCTTCGTACTGTAACAATCACCATACAGACTTTTATACAGGTTTTGCAACCTGAATGTTGATAGTGCTACTTTAGCAATACATCATTCACAGTTCTCAAGTCAGCTGTGATTCATTTACTGAGCCGCTTTGTGACTGGCGCATTGCTATCAGTGATTCGTGCCTGCATTCTGAGGTCAGTTTATTTGACAATAAAAATAAGAGAAGTGAAAAGGAAATACGGTGAAGAAGGGATGTAGAAATGAAATCAAACCGTTACATGACTGAATGTGACACGTGCAACAGGAAAGTAATTCAAAAATGGTGGACAGAACATGCACCACCAAGAAGCGCACAAATCCTAATACGACGTCTAACTAATGATCCGCATGGGGATACCTATGTGCTCCCACAAAAAAGGGACGCTAGAATTATTAACAGTAATAGCTAACAAGGACAAATTCCAATAAGTTAATGATAAAGAGGGTAGGATAACTAAATAAATCAGGCTCAAAATAAGGTTTACGTTGTGAAGGCACCGCGAGAACGCTTCTGCGGAGGAATCATGACACCCACAAAGCCAACTAATGAATAAACAGCCGAACTATTCAAAAAACAATAGACTTGCCTGTTATGCGCCAAAGGCGAATCTGGCGATCGTCTGAAGTGGAAACGATGATCGGCAACGTGGGATGGAAGGAGACCCAATTGACGCCCTGATCGTGGCCCTCCAAAACATGACGCACAACTACGTCGCTGGCTCCGAATAATTCAGCATTTCCTCCTAAACCAGCGTGACTAATTGATCCACCTCCACCCGACAGATAACGCATCTGCTCCTGAAATTATCAGAGGGTCTCTAGCATTCACTGAACAACATCCAGAGAAATAATCGAATTATGCCCGAAGAATAGGCAAATTACCATAGTTAAAAAAATAAGGAAGAAAAAGAATAACCCATCTAAACAGCAAGACATAGAAAATGTCAGGTTACATTATAACCAGGAACCTAAACATGAACATATTGCTACAAACAATCGATCCGTTCAGGACAGGAATGTCTGAAAATAATGGCAAAAAACAAGTTCATTAAACAGTTAGGCCACCAGCAAACCTCAATCCCGGATATGTGAGTTGGTGCAACATTCTTCTTGCGGAAACCGGAAATGTCCCACACGCGAACAGTTTTATCAAGAGACGCTGAGACGACGAGATCTTCTTTCGGATGGAACTGGGCACACATTACATAATGACTGTGCCCAGTAAGGACGCAAACCATTGTGCGAGATTGCCAGTTCCAAATGCGAATTGTTTGATCATCAGAGGCACTAAGTATCCAGGGGTACTCCTAAAAACAGTCCATGTACCAAATGACGACAAAAGAATATTTAAAATGTAATGAATAGCTGTAATTCCCAAGCAGCAATATTTCAACCATACGTTTGCTTACGTGATGAAAAAAGGTTGTACGAATGTAGTCTATGTGGCCATGTAGTGTGAATAGACACTTTCGCTGTTTGTAGTTCCACACTTTAATCTTGTAATCATCACCGCCAGAAACGAAGAGAGGCTGATTGTTGTGAAAGTCGATTCCGCGAACTGGTCCTTCGTGTTCCTCAAATTTATCAATAAGGGTACAAGACCGATAATCCCACAATTCTATTACACCCGTATGAAGATTCGATAAAATCCACGGCCGTTTCGGATGAAAGGCCAATCCTAAAATGGACATAAAAATCAGAATAATTAACAACTCTAAAAATGCTGATACAAATAACGGCTGCAAAGAAAAATTATTGGATTCTTGCAACGTTATTAGGTCTAAATGTTCTGCATAGAAAAAACACTGCTAATTGAAAAAGACATAAATAAGGACAAATTAAGGACACTAGATTTGCTAAAAATCAGGCCCAAAAGAAGCCAACTAGTAATTCTAAAAAAATTATAAATCACAATAAATACCTTTTACTCTTGCCGACTTGGAGTTAAATTTCTCTAGATAAGACATTGTGGACAACTAACGCCGATTTGGAAGTTTTCTAAAGACGCGGGGTTGGAGTGATGAAGACAAACAAAATTTGCGAAGTGATGTTACAGTAAACTAATTTGTTGTTCATTTATTTGATCTAACTAAGATTGTGGCACAATAAGCCAATAAATTGCTTACATCTGAAAAAATCAAACAGTTTAAGCTAAAAGCCTTTTGAAATCAAACAAAATAACGTCAACCTAAATTTCTTATCTCCTTAGACAGTAGCAAGTTAAAAAGGTTTGTGCAGTCAGTTACTTACATTAGTGGCAAAGACCTAAGTAATTATAGTGTACCAAATTTGAGTGATTAATCAATTTTAGCGCATGTCGAACCTGAAAATGTAACTAAAAATATATTATCTCTAGAACATTTCTTTAAAAGAATTGGTTGCATGTATAAGTTAGTTAGCATCATCAGTATATCCAAGCTTTCGAAGCATAGAATGCTCGAGATCTAGTGTGAAGAAGACAAGTAGAAAATTGCATCCTTTATAGACAGTCCATAAATTCCAACCCCTTCTCAGGTGGAGTTTTATCTAATTCTTTACCCTTTACCATGTAACTATTTTTCAAACATTGTCTTTTGTTTGGCCTTTGTCTTCATCATTGGTTTTTAAAACGGATTGGCTGGGCTTGCCTTGATCCAATTTGTCTGCGCAGAGCAGTAGCCGGTCTTAGTTAGCCCATCGCTCTTATGGCCCGACATGTCATACTCCTCGCATCTGGTATTATTGTCCAAGTGCTTAATTCATTATCAACGTTTTTTGAATCCACTTGATGTGCATTATGTATAAAAATTTTATCTTATAATTAATGAGTCATGGTATTACTTGTGTTGCTAGTAGAATATCCGACTTTTTATCCGCAATATTTTTCATTTGGACTCTAAAAAAATTGTGAATACGATTTTGTAATTCTTTCTGGGTATCTCTTTTTATTTTGCACTCCGGTTGTATGTGTGCAAGACTACGGTTTGAACCATGCTTACACCTAGGAATCACAATTTTATTGCACCTGTTTTGTATCCTATTAATATTTATGGCGATTTTCGTTGTAATCCTTGTCACTAATGCTCATACCTCCATTACTTAATCTTTGTAAAGTCACACATTGACTGCCTGGAAGCAAGGAGACAGGCGCTTGAAACGTGCATTGAAACAATATCTCAAATCCGAGCAGTTGTGCCACAGGATTCTTATCATCAACACGTTCGGTTTGCTACTCTTCGCAATCAACTACATCGAATCGCTATACAGTGCGAGCTACAGTTGGGAAATACCGGTCCGATTATCCCACCAGGACTCTCATCCTCAGGTGGTATTGCCTGGCGTCTTTCTGCTGATTGCTTCTCTGTTGTTATATCAGCGATTCCTGCCGATGGGTACAGTCTCCCCCCCGGAACCACGCCTCCAGAGGACTATCCCGTTAGTGTTGCCGGTGTTCATTTCGAATTCAACCAGGACAAACCGATTGTACGATAATACTTTTTCTAAAATATGGTCACTTTATAGGAGTGCAGCGTGCTTGTCGAGGACCTAAAACGACGTAATTACAATGCACTACTAAAACACGTAAAAAATTTGATTGGGCTCTACGATTTACCAGGTGAAATGTAGGTTTTGGGTTTCGTTTTAACAGAAATTACAGTGCCCAACGCTGCCGAGCTTATTTGTGCCTCCAAGCACTGGAGCAGGATTTGGCAATGCTGGCCACTGCAGTGAGCTCACGGATACCACATGCGGCGTCGCCAATGAGTTTAGAACTCACTGGAATTTCATGCAAGATTGCAAACACACCGAATGACGTCAACAGTTTAGCGCAATCCATTAACGGCTCGGCAGTTGGACAAATGGTTCAGCGCACTGGTGGAGCTTTTTCTGTTCTCACGTATTTTGTCTCAGCTGCCCAAAAGGCCATTGCTGCGTCCAGAATTCGAAGAGTCATTAATGAGAAGGAGCACACGCAGCCTGAGAAGGGAATGCTTGGCGGCTTTTGTGCCTCAGTAGGTTTACGTGCTACCGCCAACAGGATTCAACACTCCCTTCCAGTCGTGTCTTTGGTGAATTTAATCAAAGATGGTGATGGATATAAGTAAGTCACTCTCATATCATCTCCGGTTGCTGCCCCCCTTCTAAACTATACATTAGCGTGGTTGCTGCGAAATCAGTTATCTTACCAAAGGTTTCGCAAAAAATGAGTACTTTATTGCTTGTTGGAAGACCAATTGCAACTCTCAGGCTGTAGATTGCATGTATTTCGTAAAACCTTACGTTGCTGAGCATAATTGTTTATTCGCAGTTGATACGTTTGGCCTCTTAAGTGTCAATTACGCTATTGAATGGATTTAGCTATAACTCGTTTTGCCAACCGTGGATCATTTAGGCTTAGTATGTCTTTGTAGCCTAAAGTGTTTCTTAAAAGCAATTTCTCACACGTCCAGCTCAGCTAAATGCATTCTCACGCAGTATGTGTAAATAGGTTATATTATTCTGTTTTGTAGTGTTGCACAATTCACCAATGCTGATAATATTACACGCGTCACGATCGCCGCTGAATTTGTCCTCAAACTGCATCCACCCCTCTTATTTGATGCAGAATCTATCTCCGAAATCGAGTCAATAACTAGTGAGTCGAGCTTTTATTCCTTTCTTCGACGTCCACCCTTGCTTTTGCCTATCACTTTACTTGCAATTGCAGAAATTCCGATGGGCTCTCAGACAGAAGGCCAGCCCATACCTCTGCACCACCTCTTACTGCGTCAACACCAACAGGAAAGCCTTGCTTCGCTTGATGTCCACATGGTACATTTCTTATGTTAAATTTACTCCAGATCTTTTCATTAAATTCTGCATTGCCATTCCGCTGGCGATGCCATTCCAAGCGAGCAATTATTAGAAACTGTGATCCTGGCTTATTTTCTGACCGCAAACTCCCCATCCTTGTTTTTACCTTCCATAATAGGTAAATTCTCCGTTATTATTGTGATGCCATCAAACTTATTGTCCATCTCCTTTGTCGAAAACCAGATAAATCCCAAAAACCAGAAGAATGTTTCAGCATCCCCAGATCATTTTTCAGTAAATTATGGACTCCAAACTTACAAACTCGTCGCATCAACCAGCGTGTGTACATCCAAACGGCCGGTGCATTGCGAGTCATTGCTGTCAATCGACACCCATCGTGTTCACACCTTACTTCGACTCAGATAAGCAATGCGGTCGTCGATTCATCGAATTTGCAACACTCCAATCAGTCCCTACACAGAACCAAATAGACGATATCAAACCTCACGGTTTCTGCAACAAACTGCCACCTGTGTGATTGTCTTTTTATTGCATGACATCCCGTTTGACATCTTTCACCAGTCCACTGTGTGACAACTAATCTCAGGCTCTAACGTAACCATTGGTTGAAACTTCATACAGAAAAGCTTCTCAGGTCGCCTCATAACGTCTTGGCAATTTTGCAGATGAGATCATATTTTATGAGTCAAATCAAGATTAGTCCTACTTCTTGAAAGGCGACGTTTAATTAAAAAAATAACGCACATTAGCAAGGCAAATGCATGCATGTCTTTATAATTTTCGGGGATGGCACAAGGTCAGTTGTAGGGTGATGGAAGCATGTCCCCGATCAAGACTAGTGTGACAAAGCTGCTTGTCTGAAATAAATAACTGATATAGTCAAGGTCTGTTAATTGGATAGAATTTGTGGTAATTTGAAAATGGATATCCCTGGATGCATCATTACCCACGCCCCATTTCCTCAAGTCTCCCAACATCTTAAATGTGTCTGCACCCCACACTTTTCACGCTCAAAACCAACTCGTGCCCTCCCACCATGCTCTGTGTTTCGCAATTATTCACATGCTGTGATAGGACCCTGACGTTCTGACACATGTAAAGATGTCAATTTTAAAAACACAGACGTCTTTTCCAAATTTTAAAGGCTCTTCCAAACAAGTCGCAACACGCTTACCACGTAGTTTCCAGTGATCTGCGTGGTTATGTCGTTGCCGAAATTGCATTCACGTGCCCGAGTCAGCTACCTCCGCTGATCCAGCTCCTGCGACACAAAGCTGCATGGTTGTCATTCGTCGAATCCTTCCTACTCCATCCGAAAAAACCTACAGCTAAAGGTGTGTTGATCAATTTTCAACCGTCAAATTACCTGAACTCCAGTAATATAACTGTTTAAGGTGTATTGTTATTTTAGATGAAGACCTGACCTACAAATTTACCGTCAATATGCCGTCGCAGACTCTCTTTCTCATCAGTTTTCAGCATCCAATTTGCAGTCGACGAAAGGTGCAAGGTAAGATCATGAATCATCCAGTATCCCACACCTACATTGTGCTTACCTTAACTTTCCACTGTTTTAGTGTCCATTAAAATGGGAGATCTTGGTGTGTCAGAGGCCACTGTATGTGGAGCCACTCTTCCCCCGGACCTTCGCTTTAGTGCGAACGATAGTGATGATGTGTGCGACCCTACCGAAATCCTCATTCGCTCGCACAATCTCCCTGTCTCCCTAACCTGGTTGATTCTCAAATTAGGTTGCCCTGTCGCCCGTAGTCTTACTTGCCTCTTCCCCGTGTTATCGGGATCAGGCTCACCAGCTGTAGCCAAATTATCCAAAGCAGCCAAACCTGTTGACCGATTTCGAGCAAATTGTGTGGCACGGGCTCGTAGGGCTTTAGATCTCAGTCAAGACGCTTCAGCCGATGGCGTATTAGCGGGTGCGGATAAGCTTTCGGAGGAGTCTCTCAGGGACGCTCAGAGGCTGTTGCTAGGTGATGGAGGTGAGGGTGGCAGGGGACCGAGCACCTTATATGACCCAATCGCGGGTGCAACTCCCATTTGGCCCGTACACCAACCGATTCTATCGCTACCACCACCACCACCACTACCGCACCTCCAGCAATTTGCTCCCGGTGTCGGCACGAGGCCACTGCTCCCACCCGGCGTAATGGCCATAACACCACCAGCTGGTCTCGCTCCGGAACAACCGTCGTTATCTACACCCAAAGCAATTGAAGATGTGTTCTCCTCGCCTGGGGCTACTTCGAGTTCGTTTTTTTGACTCCCTGGTCAATTTTTTTGTTCATCTTGTGGCTTTCAATAACCTCTCCTTTAGTGTTCTCTCTTTTCTTTACGTTCGCCTGAGCTCTGTCATCATCACTGTTAATTTGGACGGCTATGTGAAGGCCCTTGAGACGAAACCGACCGCTCCTAGTATTAACCGAAAATCGTGCACAAACGTGATGGTTATGTAGATGCAGGACGTTACTAAACTACTTTTGACGCAGTGAAAGCTATCGAAAGGGAAAGATTATTGAGTTGAGTGTTAGAGTAGCCTGTACTTTTAAAGTTTGTTAATTCGCTCTCCTTAAATTGGTTGAAAATCATTTTTGACCTGGTTACTCTTGGTGTGTAGACGAGGCAACTGCTGGTTTACATTCTAGTTGTTTCTGTTTTCCACGCTTACGGGCTTATCGGTACCAGAAGGCTCATATGAGAAAATTTGTGTGGTTATGAATGAACCCGGCTAATGGCAGTGTTTCTGATCACTAATTCATGGTCTCACTAGGACCCTTTATTATTTTAGTTTCAGGTAGCCAGGCTTTCCGTAACATGCCATTAATTCCCGGCATAATGACCACTTCGCAAGCTACATCTCTGTTCAGTCAGTCGACAATGAAACCTCCCTCCTCCTGTTCCATTGCACCCACTCCAAACATGGGGTTCAAACCACAGACACCTGTTTCATGTAGGTTGCTACTATTGTCTAGCAAGTTTACGCATTTCTTATCCTTCTATTGTTCTCATTTCATTTCAGTACCGAGCAGTGGCGGTTCGATGCTGGTAAGTTTGCTGGACGAGGATAATCCCCCACAAAGTCTCCCTCCACCACCACACGTAGCCACTGCAACACTTTCTTCTAATCGCATTCTTTCCTCCCCTGCAACGGCACAAGTACCTCTTTCTCCATCTCCAATCACAGCGCAGGTGCCCAGCAGTCATCCAGTACCCGTCCCCACCACGTCGACTTACCTTAAATCCTCAGGGAGCACCGATGTCCTCAGTCATCTCTTGATGAGCAGCAACAGCAGTGCAGGTGTCACGGGAAGTAGTAGTGGAAGCAGTAGTGCTCAGTCACTCCCATCTTCCCTGAAGCCACCTATGCCAGAAACGGCATCTGTCAAAAAAGGCCGGAAAAAACGCGTAGACTCTGCAATGGGCGCCTTTATCTCCACTCTTCCCACTCGAGATGTCATCATGGACGCAATGAAGCAGCCTTCAAAGCCGTCTCCAGTGAAGACAGCTGTACTTGCCAAAGAATCTGTCTACGATTTCGAAGATGGCCCTTCCTCGACGTCTATTGCCCCCCCACCCCCGAAACCCTTTGGCTTTGCTGAAAACGCCGGTCCGGAAAGGACCGCAGAACGGAAATCTGGTCTTAAGTTTGTAATCAAGACTAATCGAGGAGGAATAAGTGGTGGGGTGACAACTGCAGAGAGCACGCCCGTTGTGACGAAACCACGAAGCAAGGCTGTTGAGGGTAAACCATTTGCACTGTTCAAGCAGCTACAACAGCAACAGCCGCCCGTCTCCTCTCAGCACACAAAAAAAGAGCGCAAACGCCGTGTGTCTTCAAAAGTTAAGGACATTCAGCCACCCCTAGTGCTTTCCATTACTTCACCAAAATTATTATCGAGTACGGCAGTCACAGCTTCGACGTCTTCGCCAAAAAAGCACAGTCTGGCCAAAGGTAAACCGGGTAGAAGGAAGGCGCTCTCCACTAACTCCGAGTCGAAAAGACAACGTCTCGCCTTGGAGGATGCTGCCACGGAACAGGGGGCATTAAATTCAAACAGTGCAGCAGCCAACAGCACAAGCAGGTTAATCAAGGGGTACAAAATTCCTAAAGTGCGAAAAGTGTCATCTCCGGTCTCACAAAACTCGCCACTTTTATCATCACAATCCATGGCCCAAGAGGAAGCAACTAAAAACGAGGTTCCCGTTAATACGTTAGCGTCGACCTCACAACTCTCTGCCCCGAATGCTCCGCCACCCTCGCTTCCGCTGACAACTTCCCCTACAACGGCTAAACCTCATCAGCGCACATTACTTTTTATTGTGGAGAATTTGAAGCGCGCAGCGGCCGAGTCTGGTGCACTTCCTCAGTCTCAACAGGCGACGTCCACTGCCACAGTTGAAGCGGTGTATCCGAGTGCGGATGCGATTGGCGAGGCGGGCGGCAGTGCCGAGGATGCATTGGCCACTGCTTCAAAAGATAATCTCTTCGAAAAATTTGGAGGGTATGTTCTGTTCAGTTGTTATACTGGTGACCTCCCGCCGCAAATCAAACTTGAGACTTGGCTATTACCATAGTCATTACCAGTGACCAATTTAACATGCTTTGTGTCACTTGGGCTCCAGGTAATCTCATGCTCATATCGGACCATAATCGCAGCCGCGTCCTAACAAATACCCATTCAACATGTGAACGTTGCATTTCAAACTTCTGTCTCCTTGTGGACTTGATGACCTAATTTACCGCTTCGCTCATCCCTTTCGTTAACGGAAGTCGGTGATGTGGTTCCACTTAATACATATTTGATTGCTTAAATATAAGTGGCACAGTCCGATTTACGCTTAACACAGTATGCTGCATGACGTCGTAGCTTGGATTAACGGTAGCAGAGGCTGGTCTAGGGCTTTGAAGGCCCATTCTGTAGTGCTCATAAGCACTCAAATTCAAAATCTCCACAATGGCGTTTTTGCGTTCGGCGACTTCTTTTTGCTGCTAGTACACTAGTTAATGATTTTGTCTGACTTGGCCTGGTGGTGGTTAACATCTCAATTGGTGCATCATTTCCTAGCAGAAGCTAGCTGATAGGTCTATGTTATCTTTGGCTAGCACTGTAATGACATTGTTTGTGACTGCCTCAACTTGATCCAAGTAGTGCAACGTCATTTGTTACATACTTGTGTGCGAATGACACTTCTACCAGAACAATTATTCTTAATTCGATGACGTGGTTTATTTTTTCTCTTACAAATTAACTCCATCGTGTACTGCAGTGCTGTATTTTCTTTGTAAAATGATCATCTAGTGAATCCCCTTATTAATTGGTTTTCACCGGTCGCTGGGATGATCTATCAGTGAAACTCCCAAAGCTCGCGTCTTGAAAGCGACAACTCTGCGAGTTATGAATTGGACGCAGTAGTAGGGCTCTTTCAGTCCTACGCAAAGATCCCCCCTGTTTGTCTTACGTGGCTAGTTTTAATTCTCTTCTTCTCGTGAAACGCATATTTCACAGCAATGCCACGACTCCGACAAAACCGAGCAGCTCGTCGTCATCGCAACTATCTTCCACATTGAAGCGCCTTAAAACGGCGCCAACGCCAGGAACCGCCGCTCACGACCCGAACGACGCGGTCGCGTCTAACAAAGGGCCTGAAAACTTGACAACATCGGCGGTGACGGCTGCTGAAGACGAGGCTACCCAAGATGATGACGATGATGATGATGACGCTGCTACTCTCTCTGCACAAGATGCGCACTCGGATTCACAGACGCCTCCAGCCAGTTTGGACGAGGAGGCCGCGGCGACACTGCCAGGAGGAGTAAGTTCCGCCAGGATTACTATTATGAGGATGATGTCCACCACAAGTGTATCAGTCGTGCAGGGCTGTTAAGCCATTGGAGTGTGGAATGTCGAGATAAAGGCTAGTTATTGCACACGAGGGCAGCTCATGCGCCTAAATTTGCCTTGTTTGAACCCCTACCACTACATGTCTCAACCAACACTTTAGCCATTAAAGAGGTAAGCCGATTGTCAAAGGTGTGTTCAGACAGGCGGGTGGGTTCTTTGCTCTTTCCTTCACGTCGGATCCTTCCACCTAGGTGACACCTCAGTAGGCGCTGTTTATAAGGCCACGACAATAGATCAACCGAAATCTTCCATATTGTCTATACTCAGAAGAATTATAACTGAATTTCCGTAGTAGCGTTTTTTCTCGTTGCCCCCCTCCTTTCCCAAGAGCACTTCACGCATTAAATCGGTTGTTCTGGGTGCGTGCGAGGAGGAAGTGTGGGCTAACGCCCTGGAAAATCGGTTCATATAAACCTGAATAACTGCACATGTTTAGGTGGCTGTGCATGGCCGTAGGTACGCATATTTGCACAAACAAAACCAAAGCCGTTTTCGCATTCGTTCAGGCTGATGTTCCTTTAATGTGCATAATGCCGTCAACTTTCTCCACCGTTTGGGGTTTTATTTCTCTTTTATTGGGAGGCGTGAAAGTCAGTAGGAAATGCGAGTGGACTTGACCCTACGATGCTACCGTTGGGGTCTTTCTTCTGTCGTGAACGCCTCACTTTCTTTGTACAAACATGAAGACGGAAACTTCCATTTTCTGCAAGAATGAACTCTGCCTGACTTCCAATTCAATTTTAGTAGCTAGGTCATATAGACTTCTTCAGCGGGGACGAGTTTATACTTGGTATGGATGCATAGGACCGCATTAAACCGGAAGTCAAAGACCTCCATTTTGGAATGCTTTCCAAGCAAATTTTTAATCGAGTTAGCCGACAGACATGGTCGGATAAATGCATGGCATGTTTTCTTGCCTTCTCTTTTTAGCTTATCAAAGCGTCCACAGATACGCCGGACTCGCCAACCGAATCTATTGGCCCCAAATCTTTCACCTCTTCGAGCAAGATAATCCCGGTGTCACAGGAGCCTCCCCCTGGCGGCCACCTCCCTTCCTCCTCCACGTCCTCCTCTTCCTCCCTGTCGTCGGGTTCGCCGTTCTTCAGCAAGTCAGCCCCGTCTACTCGACTCACCTCCACTGGCTTGCGTGGAGGCATGACGAGAGGAGGTGTGGGGTAGGCTTTGCCATCTGATTACCTGGGGGTGCCACAACCCTCGCCCTCCCTTTTACTTGGCTTGGACCCGGTCCCATGACTGATCTTGATCAGGCCTTGTAACTATGGTTTTGTGCAGAGACAACCTCTCAGTGACGGAGAACAAAAACTCATGTACACAGCCTTAATCAGGGCTGCAAAAGCAAACGATAGTGTTTGTAGAATTTAGCAGTAGTGGCTTAGCTCTTAAGGTTCTCCAAGTTCTAGAAGATTATGAAGATTTCACTGCTCCACAGTCAGAGCGTGGTAAACAGCGAACTGCACTCTGCAAAAGGTTCTCTGCGCAGAACCTGTGAATTTGGCGGGCTCAGAGGGGCTCTCTTCACTACAACCCTTCAAACAAATTAGCGCAACACTTGCCGGCATATTTTGTTGATTGTAATTTTCGCGGTTTTAATGTTTACGTGGATAAGACCAATCGCATCGCACTTTGGGATTCTTGAAATCGGTAGTCGCCAGACACTGATCTAAGTTCATTTGCAACGTTTCGTTTTTAGTCTTATTTGCAAGAAACTACAAGCACTTATGTCACTACGGTGGACATTCTAGTTTTTCACAATTCTCGACCACTTTCATTTTCTACATTTCCCTTTTGCACTGGCCCCAATCTGGAAATTAAATATTACTAGTAATTACCCCGTGTTGTGGATTCCCCAAGGCGTCGTAGCCAGCAGTCCAAGTCGCAGCCTGCCTTATTCTACCATTTCCCCTTTTTAGGCCGAGGTTCAACTACCCTCGAGGTGTGTGGGGTAGCCGGCCTTACGGGTCGCCCATGGTACGCGCTCACTTCTCTAATGCCCCTTAATATTATTATTTGTAGCAGTAGCATTTTGGCGTTTGTTCGTTTATATGGCCGACGGCACCGGCTGTGTTTGGCTTTCAAGCGGCAGCTGTGGCACACAAGTGGCTGTTTGGTCGTCCCCACGCAAATAAGCGCGCGGGTTCGGCAGTCGTAAGGATTCCCTGCAACATTCATTGCGCCAGCTGCCTTGTCACTTCCAAAATTAGTCCTAGGACTAGGCCGTTTAGAACACATGGCGGCCACACGTCTAAACCAGTTTTCGTTTCTACTTTTCAAACTACTGTTCTGGTTCGACCAATGTTACTAGTGTTCCTTTTTGCCACAGTGAGTCGAGTGTCTCATAAATGACAAGGTGCGGCTTAGGGGTGTCTTGAGGAAGTTGCTTAAATTAATACAAGTTTCGTGATAACACCTACTGGGTGTTCGTCTTGTGCTTTTAGCCACCACGGGGCGCAGTGGGAGGTGGTCGGCTGCCGCCCCCGCCGTGGGCCGCGGCCAGCGTGCCCCCTCCCCAGCCCCCTCCCGGCGGCGGCGGTGGTGGCGGGTGGGGGGGTGGCACGCCAAGGGGCCCTGGAGCAGGCGGCGGCGTCCCGCTCTATCGCGGCGCCAATCCCGGTGGTGGAAGAGGTGGTGGCAGCGGCGGCGGCGGCGGCGGACCCTTCGGTGGTATTCGAACAAACCCCCCGAAAAACTAGCTGCTATGTACATTTCGACTAAATAACTGCTTATTTGTATAACACATACTCTTTATTTGCATAACAGCGTGTATTTATTCAAGCGTGTGCTTGCTGCACCGATTTTGATGAATTCCTTTAACTTGCGGCAATTATTCCCAAGCAAACAGGCTTGCGGCCGATAAATAACTGTCGAAGTGGAGGGTCATCAAAAAAAATTGATGTCAAAGCAACATCGCTTTGTGACAGCATCACCAGACAGGCCTATTTGGTTCGTCACTACTGATATCAGCCAAGTAATGTGGTTTACGATCCTGCGAATTCGTCATACTTTTAGTCCGTTTGTAAATTGTTATGCGAACGACTTCAGTCAATTCGTAGGGCATCTCACAAACTCAGGCATCCAATTCTGGATTAGCAAGCTGATTTCCAGAATTTCACATTGGTAAGAGTCCGAAATAAGTAGCCTGCTTACATTGCGAAAGTATCAATGAGTGGAGTACTTTGTTCAGTAGGAATGGAGAACCCAACACCAAAGCGATGTTGTTACTTTAGGTATTAAATGAACTGGTACTAGCCGCTGAATTGGTCAGTTGTTTTGGATTTTTGATAATTATTTTGTTGTGGGCCCCAGCATGTGGTCTTGAACCGCGCCGGGGCCACGGAACCAACTCTGGCCCGACTACGCTTGTCTGATGCCCGCGATGAAGAAAAAGACCGGAGAGGACGTGGACACAACCGGTTACTTCAGAGTTCCACCGCATTGGTGTCGTTGTATTGTGTGTGGGGTTTACGCGTGTGTATTTATACCTCGAATGTGTGTCATACATGTGCTAACATCGAGACCTGGGTGTGAGGATAATCCAAGATAAATATCCGTGCGAATGAGGGGGGAGTTGAGGATCCGCGCGGCCGGCGACATGCTGCGGAAAGGGAACCCTGTGACGGAGGTGGAGCGTCCGAATTAAGGGGTGTGAATAAACACGATTCACAGGTTCTATTGAACTGAGCCATCTCGATTCTTAGCAGCCCAGTCATCATTTGTGTTATGCAACTTTAGGTCTGATCAGCAGCAAAATCACTGGCTTAGCGTCAATTTCGATCAACGAATACGGTTAGTGTTCCCTCTAAAAGATAAGAAAAGCGAACAGCTGCGTTTCCGGTGACTTGCGCAATACCCTTCGCATCATGAAAGCACTTTATCCACACTAAGTATCGACACAGTAAGTCAGCACTATGAACTTGTGACTGCCTCCTAGAAACAGGATATGGATATTAATTTTATTCGAAGTCACGCTCGTTGGCAGTCAACAATTTTGACAACTAAGCGTATCGTGAAGTCCACTCTCAGGGGCGGTGTTATGCGAGAATCGTGCACTTCACAAATGTTCTCCAATGCAAGAGGGAACCCATTCGTTTCCGAACTACTGCAGTGAAATGTTCAGCTGTGAGTTATTTAAAGTAAAATGTGTGTTTTTTTTAATTTGTTAATTTTAAAAAAATGGAGTGCATTCTTCTAGGCTTTGAACAGGAGTCTTGGTATTTTGAGGGCAGAACTCCGTCGTCATTCAAAATAGTAAATAAGGCGGTATGCGAAATCGGCGCTTTTTGGGCATCCAATCTGTCCATTTTGTTTGCACGATTCTCACCTTGGTCTGCTTCAAATAGTACGCAATGCTCAAGACCAAGCCCAGTGCATTGTGCACCGTGTAACTTTAGAATATTGCGAATGCCTGGAAAACGAGCTCTTAACATAACTAGGCGCAATGTGAAGTCGTACAATTAAATTTCTGCATATATTCCTTTAAGGACTGGCTTCTTCTGCTTTCGGCGTTGTTTCTTGACTATCACACTACGCCTTCGGCAGTGTCTGTTAGTAGAGAATATGAAGAGCGAACGTACGCGTGGGCGTATGAAGTAATAGGTCCAGTGGAATTCTCTCATAATATATTGTGAATGAGTTGAAGCGAGGTTGTGCTGATAGGGCTTTCTATACCGCTTATCCTAAGTTGCAGTTTGTATCTTTCCCAGCACTTCGCTATGAGCGCATGCGACCACGGTTAATTCACTGTTCGAGAACTGCCTAGAAGACCTTGGTGCCCCAGGAAGCAGTGAAAGCCAACGTTTTCCTGTTTCCAGTACTTGATGTAGACTTCTCGTGCTGCTTGTAAATCTACCTCTAAGATGATTGGTCTGATATTTAACAAAATGCACCTCAGCAACTCTACCATTGGACTCTTATCGCCACTGACCTTTAAAAAATTCCTTTTAGTGTTGAGATTTGCCCATTGCCAAAATACACACCCAAAGCACAATTCGCGAATCCCTTGGCCAACGCGTGTCTTACCTTCCCAGTCCGGAACAAAGGCAAGTCCTCGCGTAGAGATTCGACTGTCTCAGACAACGGCCAAGTGGCATTTTAAAATGAGCGGCATTGAAGGATTTTGACTTGGTGGGTTTACTCACGTAGGAGCTGCGAGTATAAAGTGGAACGTGTGAAACCGGAAAGGGTAGGGATAGATCAGTTATAGATCCAGATTTCACTAAGATAATTGTCTTCGGGAATACTAATTTCCACAACAGATGAGTCAGAGTTTGGCAGAACCCCAACAGCACCCGAGATGAACCACGTTTGCGATCTTCGCTTGATTTTCGGAATATGCTATTGTTTAAATAAACAGGACTTATTACGAACTGTAGAAATGAGCCACTAACTTGGTTAGCCCGGATCGTATGAGCACGCCACTGCTGATTGTAGTGTACCGCGAGTCGCTTGGTCGCACTGCAAGACCAGCAAATGCAGTAAATTTACGGTTTGAAGCATTTTTAGTGTACCGCGAGTCGCTTGGTCGCACTGCAAGACCAGCAAATGCAGTAAATTTACGGTTTGAAGCATTTTCGTGCAAAACTATGAATTACTATATCACCAAAACTGTAGCCTTTATTTTTATAGAAAATTCTGATATATGCGGTGTTCGTTCTGAAACTTGAAAGCAACGTTTCGCTATTATAATAAATGGCAAATTGCCATGGTTATTATTGTCAGGGCAAACATGTAAATAGTATATATGTCATGGAAAAAACTTCATTGGAAGAATCAACAGCGTTTTTTGCTTGAAGCATCAGCTAAATAATTCTTGGTGAATAATCTTACAGCCAACGATATATAGAAAGGCATTTACATTGAATTAACCATTGATACCATGCTCTGAAAAGCCATCGACAGGCTGTGACTCCGACAACTGCTAAATAATTCTGTCGGGCTTTGGTGACATAAAAGTTTTTCACCTACTTGTTCTCAGTCTTGGTCCACGGTAAAGTGTACACAAAATCTAGACCAAATTGTAGAACAAAGGTGCCTTTTTTTAAATTAGAAATAATTTCACCAAATTTATTTTTTGCGTGCACAACTATCTCGACTTCGGACGGGCGTAGCCGTTGGCGATAAACACTGTGAGGTTGCGTGTAGGCGCAGGAGTGTGTGGCTTGACAAAGATAATTTCTAAAATAATTCAAAGTCGTGAATACTCCACTTGATTGAAATTTTAACAGTTCAAAATGGTTTTGTTATGAGGCCATGTAAATGACAGTACTGGCTTAGACCCTAGCCGATAGACACGCCAGAAATGAAGAACATCGAAGATGATCGGAAACGTGAAGTTCACACATTATCCTAAACAATAAACACTATGAGAGTAAACAGCATAAACAGCTGAAGGCGAAATAAACAATGTTCTAACGGTAGTCAATATAGTAAAACAAAGATTTACAGGGAAAATCATGAAAAATGTTGCATTCCTTGGCCAAACGGATATCGATAAGAACTTAAACGAGGGAAAAGATCAAAATTTAGAGGAACTGGGCAGAGGGGAGGTCAAAATGAGATGAAATGCGCATCTGCCTCTTTCCAATTAATCATCTATATATCAGTATTTTGTGTGGCTCGTGCGAGTACATTACAGATTATTGATGAAGGTAACAGTAATATTCTGAGTTCCTGCTTGAGGCCTTTTTAGCACACCTATTTTCCTGAGAGACCATTCATCCAGCGATTTCAGCCGTTTGCCAAAATGCTTGAAATGCAGTTTAGAGGGTATTTTATTACGTGGAGTTTTTTTGTCAGGTTTTTCCCAAAGTTGAGGCACCTTAAAATATCCATTCTGTTATTATTATTATTATTATTATTAGCATTGTTGTCATTACTATTATTATTCTGAGGGAGATGACAACATCCTTAAGCGACTTTGAAACATAATAAATATCCTTTTTAATTCTGTGCACTAAGGATTTTCTTCAGCTGAACTGCAGTCCACATTATTTTCACCTTTTGCTACTGATTGTCTTTCCGTACCGACTGGGTTGTGGCGGATGTGATTGGCGGCAACGTTTCAAGGGTCCGAACTGTTGGGTTACGTTGGCTGGCCACCTCCACTTTCTTCTACGGAGCGACAATGTTTGTGTTGAGTGAACCTTCAGAAATGACAAAGGCTTGCCTGAATTCGTTAGACACTGCTTCACATCGCTAGATCCGTGATCAACATCTCAGTTGGGCACATATTTCGAAACCGATTTACTAGTTTCAAAACTATCAACATTCGGATCCTCATAGTGAGACATATTGGTGTCATTTTCTTAGATAGTAACCAGCGAAGAGAAGATGCATTTAACCACGATTTGTTTAATTCGTCAAAATCACCATGCTAATTGTCGATAAGCAGCAAAACTAGGCTTCCCGATTTTAAAATACTACGTTCTTGAACCCAGTTTGCTTTTACCTTGCTGAAGCACCCCGAAGCTAAACCCGAGTTTCTCCATGTTCTTGCCATTGTGTTTAGTCTCAACGGTAAAACATAGGACTACCAAGCACTGACCTAAAAATTAATGACGCCATTGAACTAGCATTGTCTTATGCATCGGTCTGAAGCAGCCATAAAGGCAACCGAAACGGCACTGCATCAGCACCCACTCTTCAGGGAATTGTGCCAGATCCGGGATCTTTTGGGTTGCGTTTCACTCCCAATCGTAAAACGGGGCCCCAATGTATTTCTAACATATTTATAGATACTTAGACATCGTGTGTGAGGAAGTAATTTTAAATTTTGCTGAAAAAATTAAGTCTACTGTATGGTAAAGTAGTAATTGGAACTAAGTATAATATATTGTAGACCACGTATGCAAATATTGAAGGTCGCAAATATCTCGAACCGACGCGCGTTAAGGCATGTCCTTGAAATTTCAAAATTCGTTCCCACAGAGAAGACCCAGGTCGTGTGGGGATGCCTTTTCAGCTTAAATTCACAGCATTTGGCAGAGGATCCTTTTTGCTGTGAGAATCAATGTTGCTATAGGAGGCATAGTATTCTATAGGCTAATTAGGGATGCGATTAATGAATAACGAATTGCTGAGAGGCATAACTGGCAAAGACCAACGGCGCGAATCCTGAACGTCGATGATTGCATGTTGGGATCCAGCCAACTTAAAGAGACTGCCTTTTGATTGACATGTAAACAGCGTAAGTAATGCTTAACGGGAAAGCTTGAAAGGGGGGCGTGTATTTTTTAAAAATAAAGCGTTTCCAAATATCGCACAGAAGTGATTTATTTGTAGATAACTCCTCACCTTTCGTCACCAAATATATTTTTGTTTATAAAATGCTTGCTAAGGTTCTTGAGAAGGGTTCTGGAGTCAGCAAAACAAACCATAAGTCAACAGCTTATGCGAGGGCATTGATATTGTCTATATACAAAATTTTGATGTGATGAGTCACCGTTCGGCCAGAATTTTCTGAGGGTAAAATAAACACGGAAAGAAAATGGACTGTTTTTAGAAAGGAAAAAGTCGCAATGGCAACTCTCGACCACGAACGTGGCTGCCGAAGCACAGAAGATGCACTGTCATAAATTTCTACGCGCCTGGTAGTGGCAGAGCGAGCTTGTCCGCGTTTCGTCACCCGACGGGGAGGGGAAGAAGTTGGCAAAGAAGCTACACATAGCACACTCTTGTCAATGCAAGTACATAAATATTTGTGCATAAAAAATGTTCTTTGTAAACGCTTGTGCACATACCGAATTACAGAACTACTTAAAGTTGAAACTGGATGTAGTTTGAGCCAAGTAGATCGTGATGCCTTGAAGACCAAATTCAGAGTGTGATTTCGTACCGCTTAGACGCGACCTGGGGAACTGAAGGTCGGGGAGCCGTGACCTGGAAGCTTCGCATGACCGCCCACACGACCGTGCGCATGAAAAGCCTTTTTGTTTGCAAGTAAACTGTGGAAACCCAGACCCCTTAAGCTTAGCGCAGTTCTCTTTTCTGCATGGCAGCTTACAAATTTTGCATTTGCAGTCTAAAAAAATTATTTTTTTTAAATACCACTACGATAGTTCTAGACACGTGGAGTGGAAGTTATGTCATTTCTTTTTCCGCCATTCATAGCCAAGAGTTTTTATTTACGATAGACATGGCCTAACTTTGTGTATTTAATAACCAATGCGAAATATAACTGGCGAGATTGCCCAAGTCCGTCTAGCATGTGCCAGAAATGCCTAGTAGTCGTTCGACCATGCTCGAGGGTGGCTGAGTGTGCTTACTTGGTATTCAAGTCATGGGCGCACACAAGAGCGAAAATGCCGAAATAAAAAGACACTTAAGCTCAGTTTGCGGAGTAGAAAGAGCGCTGAGCCACATTAAACACTGGGACCTACGCTTCTGCTATCAAGGGTTTGTATGCAAAGTGCAAATGTATTTTATTTCATTCTAAGCTCGAATTTAATGGTCGAAAACAAGTTGTTACTTACATGAGACTAACTCTCATGAATTTCCCACTTATTTTCACACTGCACTTTTGTAAATATAACTACTCCTCCAAAGTAGCTTTCTTTTTTCGCAAATTGTCCAAAAATGCGTCCCGCGTACATCCTCATTTAAACGCAAACAATTAAACTGCCGCACCAATCAAGCGCATTGAAGATAAATAATGAGATCGGTACCTAGAATTTGTGCAACGCCTTTGCTAAGGAACCAAACAAAAGTCGAGCAGGATGACGTCCACGGTGTTAAACGGAACAGATTAATACGTGTTAGTTACATACCGTGTTCATTTTGTAAGAAATAATCAAATTTTATTCCTAGCCTTCGAAATAATACCACTTCAATTGATTTTAACTTTCTCCATTAAGTATATTTTTCATGCTTGCAATGAAAATAAAGTGAAGTTGTCTAAATTTGTGTGCCTTTAAATATCTCAGAGAAAAGCTGAGGATAAACGATTCTTGAAAGAAAAGAGAAAAATTACTCTAGCCTTGGAATAATTTAGTCGGGTATAATAACTGGTCTTGCATCTTATGGTGAGGTAAAATTACTTTAAAAATACAAAATACAATGACCTTCATTAATTGCATATTCAATATAACATTTACTTTAAAAGTAACACTTTCACTTACGTTAATACAAGGTTATAAAATCGACTTTTCAGAGGTTTTTGATGCATTCCCCAGTAAACTCGTTTTAAGTTTGCAATTCTGCCCAAAATGAGAACTTTGTAAACATGGAACGTGGTGACAATACAAAGTGGGCAAAATAAGTAATAGAATTAGAGGATTTTTAAGTCAAGGTCTTGTCTCAGAACACAAATACATTTCTATGAAAACTCTGCTAATTGAGGATGTGAATAGGTCTCAAGTTATCACTCCACTTTTTCACATAATATCCTTAAATTATGCTAAATGCTTGCCGGCAACTGTATGGAGAACGTGGTTGGTGAAATGTCCAAAATTATTTACCTGACAATAATTGACAAAATTTGAGTCAAAGTAAAAGAGGTACCCTTAGGTAATATTTTTAAATTGTGCTATGTTCTAATTTAAAGTAAGGTTTGCTAGTGTCCTTGTATGGATTTCGTTTACAATGTGTAAACGCTAGCAAATAAATGATAAACAAAGCATTTAAAAGAACATTCAACAAATACAAATTGCCCTTATTGTGCTTTGCGATAAGGCTCAGGTAAAAATCGGTGTTACGAGATGCTAACCGGGATGAAAATGGCCCGCTGAACATGAAAAAGCGCATTTGCTAATGCCTAAAGTTCAAACTTCTCACGTTGGACGGAATTGCGACTTTGTCATTCTGGGGAATAGTTTGAGGTCTGAAAGGCGCCGTCATTGGCTTTCAAACACAAATCAGCAACAATGAACATATATGTAAGCAAAATCCATTATCGGACACAAATACGCACATATTTATTCTGCTAAAACCATCCCTAGCTTTTAATAAAAATGCTACGTTTAAATAAGTTTTCATTTTAAAGCCTAGGAGAATGCCGGAGGAGATGAAGACCACGTGGTGCAAGGTGGTGCTGTGGTCGTGGCGACACTTTTTAATTTCACGGCTTACTGTGTGGTTGTGCGTTTTCGTGACGTAAAATGGCCATTTTGTGTCAGCGTGTGCTGATCACCCTTCATGGGGCCTTAACTGGAGTTGCCGTAGCAATTGAACCCATTTAAGCCTTATCGGTTATGCTGTTTAATAGAAGTTTTGCCCTAGCACAAGCCGCCACCATCCGATGCATTTTGCGTCTGACGCCAGCCAGTTCATCGCAGCCTGAGAGTGGTGGTGCTCTCACACCTGACCCATTTCGGCTCCGTTAAGTGTCAGTTTTGCAAGGTGGCAACCATCGGTTGTGTGCTGGTTTCTATTTTTTGTGCGATCCGAACTATCAGCTTGCAGAACATTTTTTTTCGATTTTAAAAATGGATTCATTCAGACTAGTAAATCTTCTCAGCCAAATGACCCTCTTTTGAATCGCAAAACTTGTTGCTGTGCAATGAGTTGTGCGCTTCTCAACGTTAGAAGCGTCATTCATTGTTTCCACGACTACCACACAGACACAAAATATCTTACCGCATTCGCATGTGCCTTGGAGCAATTACTGTCGGAGCCCTAACAAACGGAGGCAGGTTTTTTTACCGATAAATATGCGGACACTGCGCCTCACAATTAACTGCCACATTATTCCATGTATGCTTTGAAAACTGCCTCTGCCAATAAAGATTTGTTGGCGATTATTGTTTTCAAGTTACTCCTAAGGCATTCACCGGCTATCAGTGAAGTATTCCAGGTTTTTTAGTGCTGAGTCAAACGATAATAAATATTAGTTTCTGGTCGGATCTCGACGCAATTGCTACAAATTGAGCTCGTCTTATGCATTGCACACTAAGAGGTTATTTGTAGATATACAACGCGTACGTACACACAAACACTAACATGCAAACTTTTAAGTTAATGCAGCAAAGCATCAAAGTTTCAGTAGCACCTTTTGGAACATAGTCCCATCCAAAAGAATGAAATCTCACAATATTTTTGAACAACTGGAACAAAAGCCCATATTGTCACGAATGGGGACGCTTCGGTTAAATGGTCAGTGCAAATGGCCTGAGCCAAGTTATGTCTGCTATTCGCGTTCACTTTACAGAATAACCGCTGTAAGGATACCGGATTGCCAAAACACTTTTTAGAACAGCTTTTTTCCCAAAAATAGTCCATTTAGATTCTTTGTGAAATCCAGGAAAGATATATCATCTTTTGAGCTAAGCTTTTAGAATCTAATGATGAATAAATAAGATTTCTTGTTGCAGGGAATTCGCGTGGTATTTTGGACATATTTCCACAAATATAGAAGTGTTCACAGCCATTTAAATTAATAATTTTTATGTTGTCCCAGACATTACAGTTCTGAAAGAACAAGCACAAGTACAGATAATGACAATGATAGAAGCTTTCAGTGAGATTTTGAGAAAAAACAGTCGAAAGTTGGGTTATTCAAATGTATACCACCTGCTTGTCAAATGGTCACTTCTGATTGGTTGAAGCAGTTTGGCGGTCAATGTCCACCCTACACGGCACGAGCTGACGTGAATGCATGCATATAAAGGCGGAGGACATAGACTATTTGAACGCAGGACATCTCGAAAATGAGCCTCGCTTCTCAGGTTTTTAGTCAGTCTTCTCTTGTTGCCATATCTAAAATAGCCAGTGCTCAAACGCGCCTACAGCGTATTATTTGGGTCATCATCTCAACCGCTATGTTTATGGGATTGTGCAGTTGCATAACCCTCGTCATAATTCAATACTGCATGCATCAGACCGTATTTCAGCTGGATTATTCTGGACGACACACCGTCTATGACCAAATTCCGGGGATAACCATTTGTCCCGATCCGCAAGAGATTCAACGTTTGTTTAACTACGCCAGAGAAGTGCGAGAGTGGCCGGGGCGAAAGCAAGACGCCGAACACGACGCTGTCCCGTGGCTCCTCCCAGCCGTGAACAAGGAGCTTTTAAAAATGATAACCGCAAATAAGGAATTGGATCCTCCAGGAGCAATCGGCCAGAACTTGCCTCCTGGAAGTCTATATTGGGACACACAGACCGTTGCCAAGTCACCCATCTATCGGGCGCTGCATAATTTTTCAGTGACATTCAATATTAAGCCAGCTAACATTGCAAGCAACTACCAATTATTTGTACTTGAGCAAGTAAGTAGAGTCATGGTACTCCTTTTGCTAAAATGTTGGGTATATCATGTGCGATGTAGGAAACAATATGTTCCCGTAATGTATAATTGACTTTTGAATGTTTCCAAATTCGAACATTACCATTTACGGTGAAGGAATGAAGTTTCATTTGTAATTGTACAGCTTCGGGCAAGGAAGCCACAAATTAGGCATAGTTTCTGGATCGACTTATGAATAAAGAAAGCATAAATTATTGTCTCATTGTTGATTTTAGCACAATTTTAGTGGAATTTATCTTGACAAAGTATTTACGTACGCTAAATTCTTATTTGTGCAAATTTGAATGCATGTTAGAGCAACATTTAATAATAATCATTACAATGTCGGTCAAAATTTCCGATGCTTTGAGGCTTATCAAATAGTTCCGAATGTGAGGTGCGATGCTTCAAGTTTGATCAAGTTTGACTCAACACTGAAATGCTGGAAAAGGGAAGGCTTCGCGTAAGGTCACCTTTGAGCAACATGTAACTTGAAAAATGCAACTTTGTAAACTCCCTGAAGTAGATTTACAACCACCTCTTGAATAAAGTCACTGATTCATTTATCAAAATAAACGGTGAGGTCAACCTGAATCATTAGGGCTACAAGTAGGAGTTTCGTTTATTAGGATTAGAAGTACTTGAAAGAGTGCAAGCAACATAGTGATACGATCTAAAACGAACTCACAGGTTAAATAAAATTCATTATGGTTCTTAATTGTTAGTTAAAGTTAGTTCGCTAATTAACAGTCAAGCACAAGTTTTACTAGCTACTATGTTTCGAGCCCATCTTAGTTTAAATTTCAAGAAACAAAGGCGACTAAAAATAACCGATCAAGATAAGAACGCAAACATGACATGTAGCAGCAGTTAACTATTGCGACTGAAAAACCCTGGAGAAAAGCCGACACATTGATCGTTTAAACCATAAAATCGGACTCGGGCAGCTAAAAGTAAATGAGAGTTGTAATCGCTCCAATGTCGCCATGCAGTGTGTTTATATTTTTTGGTGAGCTGTCCGCGATCTGCCTATTTTACAAGGCTGGTTCAGCGGAATTTTCTCTGATGCTTTTGGCAAAACCTATGTTTTATCTGGTGTCCATCTTGAAAAGGTTTCTCTTCAAGAACCTTAACAGATTAAGCCAGAAAAGTAATGCTGCCTTTGTCGATTTATTTTAAAATACTGTTTTATTCTTTGAGTCCTTTTAAGTAATACCTATTTTCCCATTATTATTTAAATATTTATGAATGAAATTTCCCACAAAAATGAGGAACTTAATATGCGAAACTCGTAGGATATGTTAGGTTATTGTCGTAAAGGTAACTGCTAACACACTGATCAATATTTTGACCCAATTAATTGCCCTTCTTTATGGCGCAAGGGCACATAAAGTAAAAGTGTTCTTGACAGTTCTTCTGCCTTGCTCCAAACTAAAGTCAGACCAGTTTCCTTGGTGGCAGGATTTTATAATACCAAAGCCGATTATGGTTATTATATTTCCATCCTCACATTTCAACATCACCTCATTTCGATGCCTTTGCTTAAGTGTTTTAAAATAATTCAAATTTCGATTAAAATGTCCGTAATACATTTTACTTCGGTACACTTTTTGTGTATTCACATCCATCTGGGGAAGTTTATCTGCATTTACACGTCGAATCAAGACAGCTCAAATAACATTTAGCCCACAGACTGTTTTTGGCAGTCTAAAGAGCACAACTGGCTTTAATGCAGCACGTTTTCATTTAATCTTGCTTAGCATTAGTAATTTATGGTCTTTAATATAGACAGTTATCTGGTATTTTAGGCACCTTCTTTGAAGACAATTTCCATAAATTCTTAAATTCACGTTGGTTTCTTGTGCTAATTAAAAGTTTATTCATTTGTATATTTTGCTGTGCATAATAATTCCTTATGTTCAGAATAATGAAAAGCTTAAACAATGGCTGGCACAGAATCTTTAATTGGACATAAAAGCTTTCATTGGTGAAAAATTGAACCTGAGTCAAAAAATACCCAACAAATCTACTATCGAATAGCAACTCCACTGATTCTAAGTTCGCATACGTGGAGTAACATTTACAAAATTTGCCGTTAGAAATTTACAAAATTAGTGCCTTTAATTGTTGTATATCAAAATAGTAGGCTAAACGACTTGCAGTAAGCAAAAAGCAGTCTTAGTTTAATTGCGCAGTTGTAAGCGAAATTTTAAATTTCACAGAAACATGGAGGTTTTTTCTTAAAAGTAAAAACAAATTTAGGTGACCCTGGATCAAGAGTCAATTAATCAGCTTTGTGTTTTTGAATTGTTAGATATTCACATTAGAAGGAAACTTTTGGAATGAATTTAATGAAATTGGTTATTCATGTAGAAGATCCAATTTTTATTGTAATTTTTACAATTAGAACAATCAATTTTCAATTTTTAAAACCTTATCAAGTTAGGAAAATATTTAACTCCACGATAAATTGCTGATGTGAACAAAAATTTTGTGAGAGTACGTATATTATACTCAACAGTTCTTTAGGAAAAGTCAAAAAATTGGTATAAGTCTAGCATCATTTACAATCCCCATTATCTTAAATTAAATAATGCAGCACGCAAGGAGTAGAAGCCGCCACTAAAACAGAATTAATATATTTAAAGAGGGATAAGAGAAGTCAATAACATGCACTTATTATTTCTGCACACAACTGAATGAAACATTTGCAGTTTACTAGTCCCACTAAACAGTTAAACTCTGATGATTAAAGGGAAACTACGTCTAAAGATTATATGCACAAATAATAATCGAACCTTTAACGCTAACACCTATTTACTGTCAATTACGAACATAATTCTACCTATGTAACAATTGACAAATTTCACTAATTCGCTTGGAATTCTATGTAAAGTAACCAACTAAATAACTTATCGTCAACATTCTCAATGCTGTCTAAATTGGACTACTGCTAAATGAGAACCAGGCAAAATTAATTTCGAAAGAAATATTTTAGTATTTCATCCCATTCATCCACCCTTTGTAACTATTGTACCTAATCTGGAAAGCATTATAATAACATCTTGGCAGTCCAAAGATGTGTTGTCGATTACTACGTCACGAAAATAGTCGCTGCAGTTGAGACTTTGTTCACCACATCGGTAGATAGGAGACGGGCAACCTGCAAACTGTTTCCAATTGCTCAGCAAGTTGCTAGGCGATATTCTAACTGTGACAGCTAGAAAAAAGTACAGGCACCAACGCATGAAATGTATTTAAGAGGTTTAATAAAAAGAAAAGCAGTTGGACGTGCGAGTAACGTGTTGTGGATTTCACTTGGTTGTCATTCAGAACATCATTGTGTTTTGGTTATTGTGCGTCCATCAATCCATCGCGTTTGATACAATAGTCGAATTCTTCGTAACGCTTAAATGATGACCTCCCACAGCCACGATGAATGTAAATGCGAGATCCCGTTCCTTTCCCACACTTTTGGTTCACCACTAACACGATGCATTGTCTGTCGTATTTGACAGAATCACACCAACAGTCACGTCAAGGCACACGATGTAAATCTCAACGTAATAATCATCAGTATGGCACATTGGAAGTTACACTCTTGCGTGAAACTCTCATGCCATCATTCACATGTTGTTGACGAAATGAATTTGCGCAGAAAACGCCATTGACAAAAGTGTGTCTGTTGGTAGCTGCGTTTTCGATCTGTTACAGAATCGAGGAAATCAGTGACATCACAATTTTTGTGTTAAGGAAAATAAGCATTGTTTGTGTCAAGAAAAACCAAGGGTGACTTGCCCACCACCCTGCCATTCGCATATTACGCATGATAAAGCAGAAAATTTAAGGTTTACTTGCACATGTTTGAATTCGGCTTGATTTTGACCACGTGCAGGTGTGTAAGTCCCAGTTACAAATCACTGCGTAATACGATTCCATGAAAAGTGACATCAACTGGCAAAGTAGAAGTCTCAGTGGATGAAAGGCAGATGTGAGCACTTTGCCAAATGTATTCGAGAGTTAGCAGCATTGGTGCACCAAGTTTGATCCAACGATCTTGTATTTTAACAGGGTAAGTCAGGACACCAAAATATATAAGACCGTATGTTCTTTAACACTGTAATCACGATTTCCTTATTTTGCGTATTGCATTTTGATGACAACAACTTCTAATGCTCGATTCCAATTTTTAGCAGAATTTGCCATGTTAGCTCTAGTGAGCACGTGAACTAAAGCACCCACCAGCCTCGCACAGTTTCGAATTATCATTTTACTGAGTCCAGTTTGATTCAATTGCAAAACCCTGTTCAATTTGTGAGCCATGTGAGATCCTGAAATGCACATGGCCACCAAACGCCGGCTTCGCTTTAGTTTTGGTTCCTTGGGAACATGTACAACTACCTCGAATGTAGCTGCTTACTTTAATCAAGCCATTTAATTATAATTTGTTTATCAGACGTGCATTTTAATAAAGCACTGTAATTTTCGACTTTGGTTTGCCCAATGTACATTCCTTTCTTACGCGGTCATAAACAACTAACGTGCGTGCTTTCCAAGTGTGTGGTGAACGTGCCACTGGAGTACAGTTCAACCATGCTGCAACTCCTTGTCCGGTTACAGTGTGCAAGCTGTAACTGATAACTGCCCTAGCACATACAACCGGGTCATTCACCCACAATCAGACCAAGGTATAAAAGGGTGATTTACTACTTCATGGGTTGTTTGGCAATCACAATTTCCACTACTTATGCTAATTACTTCCCTAACCATCCAATTAAGCAAGCTTTATACACCGAAGTGATGTTGCCACTTTGAAATTACTGTTCCACATTAACTTAGGCTGCTATTAAATGCGTTTGCCTAGCTACGAGTTTAACACGGTCTTTGGAAATTGGCGTGCTTGGATGCTAAAACACCGCTTAGAATCCCACCCACAGATTAGGCATGCCTACTTTACCACCGACATATGGACTATAATTCGCTTTTGACGCTTCAACGTTCAGAAAAATGCTCTCCATACAGAAATTCATGTGGGGATTACCAAGCACATCGCCCTTTGTCTGCCAGTCCCGCATGTAGTACCCTCATCTTATGTCCACGATGCAGTTTTATATGTGAGATCAAAGCCCTGGCTTGCAGAACAATGCGGTTCCCAACGTGCACGCTGTGGCGTCCTTGAATCCACAGCGTGTGCCAACGTTCACCACCACTTCCGCTCTGTTGCTCAAAACAAACACCCAAATAAAACCCAACATACATTTTACCTGATCAAATTTTGCATTGGAATACCAATCTGATCTACGCAAGTTCATTCAAGTGTACTTTATTTATGCATTGAAGCAGTTCGTCCATGTGTGTAATGTTAGGCCACGATGTAAGTGAAGCTTCGTCTGCGCACATGTGCCTGCAAACACCGAATCATGGATCGGGGCATAGTGGATTAGTGAAAGCATTAGGAATTATTAATTGACTAATTGATTCATAAATCAAATGAGAAAACAAGTAACCTGGCTTAAACCGCACTCCTTGAAGGGCCGAATTCCAGTTTTCACTGTTGGACGGGATATTTTGAGATTTAGGGCTAGAATATGTGGACCTATTTTAGCCTACATTTTAAGGCTCTCCAATGCATGTACTCAGTTCATCTTTCAAAGGATAAGATCTGTTGACCGTGAAATATTGAAGTAATGTGTTTGTTAACTTTTTAGGTTCCAAATATACGTCAATTTATGTGTACGACCTTTGAGTTGACCACTCAGAGTCCGGAACTAGGTTGGTCCCACGTGGAAATTACCATTGAGCAGGATATGCACACAGCCGCAATAGCCACCGGCACTGGTGGCCGAACGAAACCTCGTGGCACAACATTTGCGATAATCACACACGAGCGTGGTGAACTACCATTTAGCGCCTATGACCGTAACATCTACACAACACTTGCGCCGGAAACAGAGGTGTCAATATATTACTCGAAGTCAGTAACGAGACGCGTGAACACGGCAAGAAGTCCCTGCCACGACGGGGCAGATGCCGCCTGGCTTGCCCAAACTCTCGAAATAACAAAAAACAACACAACTTTCCTGGACTTTTTAGACCGGCGTCGCTTGGAAATTAAAAGAAAACGGGCCTGGCCCACAAGCAATGTCCCCTATTTCCCTGATCGTCAGTCTACTGACATGAGGACTAATGAGCAACAGCAACCAGCAACCCAAAAAAGTGCCAAAGCTGTCAGCCTGTTTAACACTGAGTTCCTGTACAGTCGAGAGGCCTGCGGCTGGAAGGTGTGCTGTGTGAAAGTCGCCACGGAATGTGGCTGCACGTGCTCCATGGACTGGCTCCTCTCGACCGGAGCGCCAACTTGTCCCAACGATCGCTGTGAACGTACACAGTGCTCCGACTCCCCTGTGCTCTACGACCAATGCCCAATGCCATGTGTAATTTCAAAGTTTGTAAAACAGAATCTCCTTGTGATAGAACCACCTGACTCACGTCTACCCACTAATACCTCAAAGTTGAAGCTTATTCGGTCAGAGAACGTCCAAGTGGCTGCCGAAGAGGAGATCTATTCTTTGGCCAAACTTTTCTCAGAAATAGGCGGACTGTGCTCGCTGTTTATTGGTTTTTCATGCATCTTCTTTTTTGAACTAATTGAAGCCCTGCTACTAATAAGAAGAGGTAGAAAGGCAGAAGAGGAAGCCAAGTTAAACCGCATTTCAGATAACGCCGTGACACAATTTCGTTGTGCATCTGAAACAAAAGAATTATCCGCATCTCATCCCAGAGGTGAAAGGAGTCCATTGCCCGCTGTGACAAACCATCACAACTACCAAAACCAGTCGCTATTTGGTGAAGACGAGGGAGTGACACTGCCAGTTATTTTGCGTTCGGGCGTGATTGTCGCCAACCACCATGATCCTGTGGAAAGACTAACGGTGGCAGAGAAGAAGAGCATGAACCATGGCACCTACCTGCTTGCTGATTCCCAAGGTTAGTAAACATTGCTTGGCTGATTTTGCATGCCTAAAGTGGCGTTGCTGTTCACGTGTATAAGGGAATGTGATCAAATGACAAAAATAGTCTACTATAAATAATGTCATGCATCCCACATGCTGATAAAAGAGGCATCCCTCAAGAAAGGTAACTTTAAAAGTCTGCACCTACAAAAATTTTTCGCGTGGTTTTGTTGTGTGTTTTTAGAAGACCAGATTTGAAGGAAATAAGGACACATCATAAAAACAGATAAATTAGGTAAATGATGTAATTTTACTTGCAGCTAACTTGATTACTTTTTAGCGCAACTATCAAAGTATGATAGCTGCCGGATAAGACTGTTATACTACAAATAAACCAAACAAGTTTATATCTGAGGTACCTTTAAGTGCATAGTTAGGCTTACACAAGTGTATGAGCATGAAAAATCGACGAGATTTACACCATTAAATGAGTAGGCCACCAGGATCTTTACCAGCAAGGAAGCCGAGGAAGAAGTTAGGCTCTGCTGTGTGGGTGCTTGAAAGTACATAGCCCACGTAAACGTGCTATATCTAGACAGATCCACCTATCAAAGACGATTCACGCTGACATTTATAAACTTATTTGGTTCGGCGCACCAGCCATGAAACACGGGGACATGGCAAAACTTTATTAAACAAGCTAGTTTTGAATGTTGGAAAGTTGTCCATTAAAGTCGTGTTAACTGTTCATGAGAGCAGTTTTCCAGTGGCGTGCATTTCAACATAATCCTGTTCCAAAAATAGACCTGCCACACCACATTTTGGCCCAAGCATTAGCGCAAAGAACCCATGGATGGGAACCTGTGCATTTAGAGGTTAACTTGGCATAATTAGGTTAAAATAGTTGAACACCTAGCGGTCAGCCGATAAGTGTGATTTATGACCCAAATTTCAACCGCAGATGCAGGGTCATAGGGGCACTACGCAGTAGGCCGACCTCGGAGGCACGAGGGTGGGTTTTTTTCTGGCCGATGACTGCACCCAGGAAGGGCACGCAGACATCCACAGGTACTTACACTTGCAAGACACGCTGCTTTTTACTCACCAACATCTGCCTTTGTATTGAACACAAATCAAATTTGTGAGTAAAGCATTAAACAGCACAATACTTAACTGTCCAAAGGTATTACAATCTCATGGAGCCTCAAATATATGCAAAACTAAAAAACCTTTTTTCATAAAAGTGGGAGACAGCTTGGCTGGCATGGAAGAGGAAACTCAAAAATGGCTTAAGGGTTTTCACCCCTGTTTATATCCCCGTTAAGGCTAAAACGCAAAAGGTTTTTGTGCTATGCAAAATTTTAAATAATAAAATTTGGTTTCTTAAGGCAGGAGGTTTTTGGTACAAAAATGTTAGGTCATTCAAGTGTTTACTTTTTATAGGATAAAGTTTGTTATTATTTTTGGTTTTATGTGAAAGTTATCAGATTTTTCAAATCTTAAACAAGTTAAGTGTAAACCGTCTTAATTTATGCAATGAATTAATTTTGCTAGAAGATTGAGATTAAACCTGAATGGAAACTGGGAGACACATGTTACGGTTTTGGAATTGGAATGACTCAACGGTAGACGGATAGAGTTTTGCCAAGATATTTTTCAAAGACTGAAAATTCGAAGGACTTCGGTCCCCTAAATTATACCAAATGTTGCGAATAAGTCATACTCATTGTTCGTGTTTCTAAAAAGTTTTTAAATTTTTGCTACGACAGTAGGTTGACCTAAACGTCACCTTGTACGTGACTCCCCCAATGCAAACAATATGAAACCTCCCGGAAGAATAAGGTCAAGACGCAGGTGAATTTTTCCTGTTTCAAGTATCTCCACTAAAATAAACTTGGGAATAAACTATTGACATTGATAAACCATAAGTAAACACTCATGTCTAATTAAAGACATAACCGTGAATGTTTTACCCCTTCTGCATGTCAAATAGTACGCACCTTACGTTAGAAAGCATGCAAAATAAAAATTTCGTGTCGAGGAAATGAACATCGCGAAACTTAAAGAATTTTGGTGTCAACTCCAAGGTGAATGATTTTAGCGTAAAGAAAGCCAAATTACTGGGACGATGCCAGGGCTGTGTCAAAGGGAATCAAGGTTTGAACATGCGCGTTTTGTGAACAGTAAACGTTGGTTATGCTGGCCTTGGTCTACTGTCTTTTGGAACACGGAAACAAGTCAATTAAATCAAAAATTTCTGGTATAGTAGACAGAAACGATGCACTAAAATCTTTCAGTTCTGCTATTTTCCAAATCCAGAATATGGCTATATGCCAATCTTGCATTTCGATTTGTGAATGTACCGGTTATCTTGAAGTTTTGCAAAACACGTGCAACGTAGTAGATTAAGATTCTTTTGAAAACTGATTTTATATTGTTGATGCGTTTTCAACCACTTTGAAGATCATTACACTATTTCAAAGCGTCAAATAAAAAAAACGCCACTAATTTAACCATTTAAGTGTAAATTTTACCACACCTAACCTGTCGAGTTAACCTTACTCAATTCAACCTTTCAGGTTGTAAATTGCGATCTTCACGTGACAGTAATAACAATGTAGTGGTCGTGAGTTTTTTTTTAAAAAAATGGCAAGTTGGCTTCGCAACTCAAAAAACATTATGGTTATTTTACTAACACCCGTGAATGACTAATCACCTTCAGCTACCCGTCAGAAATTGATTTTCTATTCCATAATTTCAGCCCATGGTGCATTTTACCAATCACCACTTGCCAGCGCAAAGATACAGCACCAAATTTCCAGAATTATCTGAATTAGCGATTCACCTTTAATCATTTTGATTCCCCTATCGAGGGTTACTTTGAACGTCTTAAGGCTTTTCGCGTGCATAGTAAAACACGTAATGGATATCCAGCCTGGAGTCTAATTAAAATTGTATTAATGTAAGTGATCTTTCAGTGGAGATAATTCTACCTACAGCCACCGATAAGAAACTGCATAATTCCACATTTTTTTCGGCTTTCACAAACAGCTGAACGAGGTACAAGGAGCAGCTGATGGTGGTAAATCACGCGTCGTGTTTTCTAGAACAACCACTCCAACCAGCGTCTAAGAAAGCAATAACCAGAGATTTAACCAGACATACAAAAATATGCGTTACACGAATATGTGGGAAGGGTAAAAATGGAAGCCATCAATGCTGCATATTTTCGGTGATTTGCACAAAAAGTGTAAAGCGTCACCCGAGCTGATAAAAATACGTCGATTTCAAACGATAACAGATGCACACAAGGGGCATAAATTACAGGCCAGCATCGTCTTTTGATTTCTGAAGCTAACACAAAATGTGCCGCGGGAAATTTACTTTTCCCCTAACACCACTTTAAATGCTCAGTTTTCAAGGTAAAATGATTGCGAATGGCCGCTGAACCGCTGACACGAAACCAATTTTGGCAGTATTTGGGAGATGACGGCCCTGTAACAGCAGCGCACTGCCTCAACTGTTATAGACTTCAATAGATTATTATGCCGCTTAACGTCAAACAAGATCAAAGTAAGTAAAACAAATTTAAAATAATTTTTGGTGCAAAAATTTAGGTCTCTGAAAACCCGTTACACCCTTGTCCTGCCATATAAGTTAACATAGCTCAAGATCAACAAATATTAACAACGCCAGATGTCTTTATTGACTTAAATTGGACTGAAAAGGTGTATCTGTTTGAGTTTAGGCTAATGCTATTTACTAAACTTTCGACTTCATATGTTTGTTGATAATAAAATTCGCCAGTGTAACATTTTAAATAAAGTACATTGAGCAATGATGTCTGAAACACTCTAACTAATTTAATTAATAAAACATAGACTTATGGAAAAGATAAGTACAGAGTACCTGCAATTGAAATTCTCATCTATTCATTAGGGCCTTTAAAAATTGATCCATATCGGCTGCTCAGGGGTCTGTGTATATAGATTATTTACTTAGAAAGGCAGGACTTGATTTAGGGCTATAATTGGATTCCTTGCCTGAAGGCTTTAGTAAGCTTGAATAAGACTAGTATGTAAATCACTAAAGCAATATTAGTGTAGCATAACTAAAATATTCCGCAACGCGAGCTGGACATTAAATTGACGGAACTGGGTGTAGGTTTTATCTATCTTCAACGGCTGCAGCTATAAATGACACTTTTACGAATCTTGACAAATAAATAAAATAAAGATTACTTCAGAAACTCGGAATTTTCCCTGAGACAATTAGTGAATTCTCATTCAGAAAAACACAAACTTTGGCTTTTTTTTCCTTGAACACATCTGTGTTTAAATAATTGCTAGGTTAGTTTAAAAAGAAGTGCGCAGCTGACCAGGAGCTTCTTTTAAGATTATTAGAACTTAATTGTCATTTGTGCATCCTGAATACAGAACCAAAATTTTTCTGCATCTAAAGTATCTAGGTTCTGAGAAAAATATGTGCACAAGCAGTTAGAATGCTTTGTAATATCCATTCATTTCACTCTCACATTTTACCATGATTTAAATCAAAATCAAAGGGTGACACATTAGAGTCTTTATGATTGAATGTGTATTTGTTTGCTATCAGCAATACGAATGATAATATTCCCACGGGGAAGTAAATCACTTTTGGTAAAAATTTACTCGAATGCGATTACAAAATACTCTTCGTTAATAGCGTTGCTTGATAAGAATGTAGTCGATGTGAACGCTTGTGCAACCAAACGATAAACTTATCTCTTGTCGTGTAGACCATTTAATCTTAATTATTAACAATGCTAATCACGGTCTTCTAAGGGTTTTGAAAGCTTCTTGAGATGTCACTATGTGAAATGGTAAAGAATAAATACCAAACACACGTAAGTTCGCCCAAAGTCACGATTATTTCTTTCAGTTAAATTTGAAAGAGAATTCGCAATTATGTTTTAGAAAAAAATTTAGTTTTTTGTGCCATTGGCATCATTTAAAGTAAAGACGCTCATGTCTGAGGTCAATTATAACTAATAAACATTG